AAACCCATTGTACAGCGGGACGGTGTCAGCCCCCGCCAGACCCATCTGTACGTGCACAGAGCTCCACGCCGTGCCCCCAGCAAGCAAGAAAGGAACGAAGCCTTTCCCCACCGTCTCCACACTCTGGTGAACGAGCAGTCACATTTGCGGTAGGAACACACGCACACATCTCATAGGAAGTAAGACCCATCGAGTCCAGCCCCTGGCTCCATGCAGGACCACCTCGCCACAGGGACACTGGTTACGGTGCCCCTGTGAGCGATTCCCAACGTGCAGAGCCCATTTCCCATTGAAGGATGAACCCGCACGCTGCTGCCTTACAGAAAAGCCGTTACGAATCTCTAATAGTTCCCCTCCGGCTTCCTCCAGGAACTTGACCAACGCTCACTCAGATAAAACTCATCACAAGAAACAATGGCAGACACAACAACCACACAGATAACCAGTAATAGAAGGCACACAGAGCCAAAACCCCACACGACCAATGCTTTCAGAGGCACAATAAAAGCTAAGCTGCTTATTTGCTTTTGTAAACTGAAATAAAAAGTGACAGAACTGTTTAGGAATGCCCAAATCAGATCAAAAGACCTCAACACACAGCCTGGAAAACAAACAGGAACAGTTTTAGATTTATCTTAGTTAATCAAACCATTTTTCAATACGTAAATCTCAAAGTGCTTTGTGAAGGATCTCAGCTATAATTAACGTGTAATGCTCATTTGTTTACGAGGAAGGATTGCCATTAAAGTCTCTCTTTGAAGACACAAACCAAACTGAAGCTCGGACCCAACTCAGATATCTCCCTGCAGCCCTCTTTAACTATTTCTGCTCAGCCACAGTCACAGGGGCAGCACGCTGACAAATACCTGTAAGGGAAGAGTACGTAACTCACCAGTAACTCTTCCCAAGCAGCACAGATAAGCAGGGTACCTTTGTACATTACACAGTGATCCTGCAATGAGCAGCAGTCTCCTCGAGGCACCTCACAGCCCTTCAGTCTAAACTGTCTCAGCTTCCTGCAGACAGCAGTTCCATCCAGATGCTTAAGAGAGACTTTTACTTACTTACTTTTGGAAAAGACTCATACATCTGAAAACGTGCCTGCTTCTTCCAATGGCACTCATGCACATGCTATGATCTTGCCAGCACTGCTCACTGCAAGCTTCCTCTGACCACCAGGACTGTCACAAACACTGTATGCTGTTCCAAGGAAGCTCTTCCATACACACATACCCAACTGCCCGGAGAGAGTTGGATGCATTTCTCTGAGAAATGGAGATAAAATTACTAATCCACAGGTTTTCACAGATGTAACATCTCAGAGCTTTCGTTTCAAGAGCTCCTCGTCTCCACGCACACACCAAGCTTTGACCAGTTGCTGTCCTTTCAGATGAATCACTCAGATTTTTGCACTTTTCACGCACCCAGGGGTCTTTACAAGCTCCTGATCATGTTGTGGAGATCTACAGCAATAACACAGCTCCAGCAATCAGCATTGGGCTGTGCAGGTTACCAGTGAGAGGGGCCCACACACAGCCTAACTCAGAGACAGGCTCTGGGGAGGAACTGGCAGGCTGAGGGCCGTGGGTGCCATCTTGTCCAGCCCCTGCAGAAGCAGGATGTCCTGGAGAGCATGTTTTGGGTGAAGCAGGAGATGAAGGTGGGTAAAGCTGACTTTGCTCTCTGTGCTTCTCGTGTAACTGGCACATAAAGCTTCCAGTCCACAGGCAACAGAAGCATAACAACAAATGAGTTCCTCTCCTACTTGTTTACCGGTCCACTCAAAACCTAGAAACTAGATCTAATATACAGTAAGACACGCAGAACCGGTTTCTAGGCGAGATAAGCTGAGCACTATCTAATGAACACAGATTACAGAGAACTCCACTCGTATGTGCTTCAAATCATGCTAAGAAGCAAATGAAAGAGAAGGGAGCATGCTTTTGCCTCTGCCTCAGCACACCTCCTTTACCCAGGAATTCCAGCCCTGGGACTGCCACATTAGATCTTATCCTAGGAAGAAATTGAGTGAAAAAGACAGGAAACAGGCAGCAAGGGCAATTACGGTTGGGCACACTTCTGCAACAGATGCAGGAGTGCTCAGTCTCAGAGACTGAGGACAGCGCTATTTTCCTCGTTACACCCTGTAGTTGAAGCATCAGATAGTACCATCTCCAGCAATTTCTGCTTTTCTTTATGTATCCTCACATAGAAAGACTGAGCACATGGCACACACACGAGACCGACTTTTTGTCAGAACTTAAAATTCTGAGACCTCCATCAAACTTGGTCGAGTATCAGGATCAGAACTTATCCTAAGGTAGGAGAAAACCCTATACAGCAGTGCCTGTATGTGTATGTATTCACAGACACTCTCCCAGAGATCTACATTAGTCCCTCTGTCCCTGTCTTCCCTGTTCCCCAATTACTTAGTAGCCATCTCTTCCCAATGGATGTGTCTGAGTGACAGCTGCTTGCAAGAATGCTACACCGGTGCAGGGAGGAGGCAGGCTCCATTTGGCTGAACAGATCAAATACAAAACAGTACAAAACAGAAGAAGAACAAGAAGAGTATGCTATCATGTACTTAGCTGCTACAGCATGCGCTGAAGCTAATGAAAGTTGGGCTTCTAATGAACTTCACCCTAAATGAGACATCCAAATGACATCCATACCTTCATTCAGGCAAAAAGGAAAGAAATGATTAGCTACAGTACATTAAGAGGCTTTTGAAAATAGCACATTAATGCTATTTCTCGTGTTAGAAGAGAAATTTTATTGCAATTCAGCAACTGTAAAACTGTTGTGTATGTCCAATTCACATTTAATGTCCAATGGATTCAAATGTCACAGGAAAAATAAAAAAGGAAAACAGTACCTGGTTTTGCCATCATAATGTAAACTTCAACACCCATCATTTAAAAAAGAAAAAAAAAAGTCAGTGATTTCCCCACTTAGTAAAATATACGGTTTGTAAGGTATTGATGCTTTTCCTAACAGCCGATCTAAAGGTATAAAATAATTTACAAAGATGAGAAGTACATCTACAGTATCTTCAAGTATTTTCAAGTATCCTATAGCATCTTGCACTATGGACAACAATCTTTTGACAATATACAGAAAAAGTTAACTCTGAATTTCACTGCAGAAACAGAACCTTAACATGTTCATGAATCCAGAACACATCAAAATATGGATCTTCCACAGCCAGCAGGTCCCATTTTAACAATTTGAGTTTTTAAAATGGAAAAAAATGTGCAGTTCATGAGTACGTTCTCAACCGCAGACAGATAATTTTAGGGCAGATAAAGGTGCTTTTTGTATAAACTTTCCATATTCCAAATAAGTCTTGATTAATTAGCATTTTATCTTTGTATAAAGTATCACGTTAACTCTGATGGCATTAATCAAACAAATAATTTATAGGAGATAGCCTGTTCTTCCCTCAAATCGGGTATCAACTTGCAAACGTTTGGCCAATGCAGCACTATGCATTTACTGCAGTAGGAACTACTTACTTTTCATCATTGTATTTCTGTACCTATAGGATGTGTGTGTGCTATTGTGACTCTCAGTGCTGAGTTAAAAACATTATCTTTTTTCCAGTAACTGCAATAATAGTGATCAGTATAGCTTCATTAACTCACACCTACCAAGCCTGAATTCTCATTTGAGAACAGTAACAGTGAATAATTAGTTACATTACACTACAGCTCATTTCTGAGCCAAAAGATAAAACTGCAATGCTACTTTTGGAAAGGGAGATGGATTTTACACAGTTAAAGGGTAGAAGACTGTGACTATGCCATTTGTTCTATATAAACGTTATCCAATTTAGCAAAATGGCACGGAAGGAACAAATGCTGGATCCAAACATAATTCTGTAGGGCTGATGCTACGTCAATGAGAGCAGGAGGTTTGCTTGGGGCAGACACTGAAGAGCAATAAGGATTATGGCTGTGACTACAGACTGAACTGAACGCTGCAGAGATGCCAGCCAAGTCTCTTCCCAAAACTTGAACCTGGGCTACCATAAGGCTATGTTCAACATTTCCATCTTGCTTGGCATCCACTAAATATTACAGCAAAAAGTGCTTTGTATCTTAATGGGATTAGGACTGTTCACCCCCATGAGGAAGGATGTAACATAAAATGGTCTCCCTTTTGAAAATAAATTGAGGAGGCAGGAAGATGATCTCTTTCATCTGAACATTTAGCACACAGGATGCTGTCACTGGTGGACCGTTTCAGCCCCATGCGCTGCACAAAGAATGCCCACCACTTGGGAACCAGCAAACCCTGACCTGTGTCCATTCTAGGTATTTCACTGTTGTAACGAGGCCAGAAAGACCCACATCAAAGCAAGCCATTAGGCCAGTGTTATTGTCCCACATTAGATGAACAAATGCAAGCAAACAAACAAATAAAAACGTTAGTTCAAGGTTAACTACCTCATGTAAGGTAAAATTAATCCACACTTTGCTCTAAGATACAGATAGGGTTTTAACAGGATCAACTAACATGACACGATCAAGATGGTTAATCCAACCCTCTTTTCATACAGATGTATTCACTGTGAAATATACAGGCCTAGTAAAATCATGATAAATAGAGCTGAAAGCACTGCAGGGTTTGGGGTTTTTTTGTTTTATACTACCTTTACTATATAAATAAGCAATGTGGGGCGAGTATAGAAAGATTCTCCCAAAATACTAAGTTGAATACATGAAATTCTCAGAATAAAGTACTTGTTATGTTTTTGCCCTTCCAAGACTGAAAAAACACACACAACATACTTGTGTGAAATGCTGCTGCAAGCCCCAGGCTGAAAGAATTCACACCCACCCAGCCTGAGCAATGGCTTGGATATTGCCCTTGCACCTTTCTAATGCTATCATTAAATCAAAGCAGGACTCTGCTCTGATTAAAAAGAAAAAAGAAAAAAAAAAGTAGTGATAAAGTAACATCTCCATTTGATAATGAAATAAATAGGACAAAAGTAAAAATACTCAAACATTTAATATATGTGCTATGCTTATAAATTATGGAAATAAAACTAACACAAGATGTCACTAATCTGAAGGTAAAGAAAAGCTACTACAACAATGTATGATCCAAAAAACTCGGACTCTGCTTCTCCAGAAAGAGACAGTACTGAAAGAAGTTTATACAATGGAGACCTCTTAAATACATAGCCCTGAATTTCTGTGCAGTAATTTGTGGTGCTGATAAATCAGCCTGTTAATTCACATACTCACTTCAAAGAGATTTTTATCAGAGGATTCAAATGAACAGCACTGCCTTTAGGCATTTGCCAATTTCCAGCTCTTCAATAAATTAAACCTTCAAAATGTTTGTTTTATCACAGAACTGGACTAAGTTTTCCTGCTAAAAACAAAAGCATCCCAAATGAAGCTGATGTGAGAAGACACATCCATACAACAGAGAAAGAAAATAATGTATTACTCTGCCTTTTTAGACGAATTAATGCATGTTCATTTCTTAAAAGGATTGTGGTTATTATTTTGCAGGGGTACAAGCATCTTTCTTTCATCATCTAGCCTTCTTGAAACCCATGTCCCTTTTTATTAGCAGTTAAAGAGAATTACCAGCAGCAACTACATACCAAGCTTCAACAGGCTGGTTCAAGTGGAAAGATTTTTTTGCACCACAAACACATATTCCAGGTTTTTGATTTAAGTGGGCTGCACTGTAAATTCTGAATTGCAACATAATAAAACCAGTTGTATCATAGATTTTTTTTTTTTTTTAAAGACAAACTTACAACACAACGATAGGTTAAATAAATAAAAAACATCAGTTAAAAACATTCTAAACTTCTTCTGTGCAATTGTGTACCAATATGAAAAATATTACTTCAATCTCTGCACATTTCATGGTTCAGTCTCCTGGAATTCTCTAAAAATAATACTGATAACAAAAATAAAGGAAAACGTGATCTGTTGACAAGTCAGTGCTTTAGAGCTATTAAAAAGCACACATGAGAATTTGTAGTTCCCTTGCAGCAGAACAGTGACCCAACACGTTAAAAATCAAACACTGGTAATAATGTTAATATATAAAATATTAGTTTAAAAACTATAGAATGACCTTCTCAGCAGAAATGGAGTGTATACATTGGGCTCTATGACATACAGCATATCTGAAGGCAAGTTCACAGAATGCTGAAAGGCTCACTGCACCTTCTCTATGGCAAGGAAATACTGCAGCTTTAAAATAAGCTGCACAATACTCATCTCTATCTCTTTCACATGAAAGTGTGTAAAAAGCAAATCAGCAAATAAACTCTAAAATAGATTTATACCAAAATCCTCTTTTTTACATTGAGTTTACAGCTTCTATCCATTTGCCTGTACTATTTTTGGAGTTTCTTTCAAGAAAAGTCCAAGTTGCATTTTAGGGCCATGAACAAGTTCACGATACAATGTACTGGCAGACAGAACTTTTGCATACTAACGAGATCCACTCCTTGTTGCTTTTTTGTTGTTGTTGGTGGTGGTGTTTTAAACAGTTTTTGTTGGTTTTTTTTGTGGGACAAGAGGCCAGATATCGATTCCTTTGACAAGAGACGCCTCCAGCGTGATGTTGAACTCCTGCAAGGTCTGCAGCACTCGAATCAAAGAATTCACTAGAGTATGATCTTTAATCAGTGCTATGTCTTCATACATCTGTGCTGTGATCGGGCAGTCTGCGAGCAGGGCGATCCAGTGATGTAAAAGATGGTCTCTGACAAAGCAGCCATGTACAAACAGAAATAAAAATAAAGCAAAGTTAATTTCTCATTTTTATGAAATGTTTTTGTTGTCGTTGTTCCTTGCCTTCCAGATAGGTTTACCATTTTCTCCATGTATTATTATAAGGTGGAGAAGGGGGGAGTAGTCAGCTGGCACTTGTTTCAGTAGGGGACATCTTCATGCAAAACAAGCATTTCCAGGTTTTCCACTCCTCGTATCAAAAGATACGGTTCCCAGCAACCTGGAAGTCCCAGGCAAGCCCAGTGTTATTGGCCTGCTCCATTGCCTTTTAATGAGTAGTGAAAAGTTCACCCAGCCAGGAAGGAAGAAGCCCCACTGATTCATGGTTTCCTGCTTTCATCTTCCAACCTTGCCAGCTAGGAGAGGCAGGCAGGCTACTCACATGGCCTGCTGCCCTTCTCTCATGTCTCAGTTGCCCAGCAATTCAATATTCAATCTGTGTATCTACGATTTCCTATACTTCACATTCATAAGAATTCAGGTTATAGTTGTAACTCTTCTTTGGTTACCAAGTACTTCAGAAGTAATAACTAAAATGCAAAACCCAGCACTTCTGTGGCTTTACCTTACTAATATACATTTTATAATATTAGTTCATTTTATTAAAACATCATTTTAAAAAAAAACCAGTTTCTTCATACCTGGCTCCAAGACACACCAGCATCTGAAACTTGCCATCCTTCCCAATGTTTCTAGGAGTGTTGTTGATAGCAGTGATAAAGCGACAGAAATTCCTGGCCCTTGTCTGCCAATTCTCTTCTGGGACCATTTCATTCTGTTCAAGGGTCTCATAATACGTTTGTGCTTTTTCTTAAAAAGAATGGTGGGAGATAACGAGTATCATCAGCATATGCAGGATCCTAAAATAGCTCCAGTGCTAGGAATAAAGTAACCTGACCTTCACATTTAGATGATCACATTTAAAAATACCTCACTTTATAATGCTTTCCCCATAAGCTTGCTTACAAATCCATTGCCCAATTCCCACATCTGAGAGGTGCAAATCAGCACAAATATCAAAGTCATGGAGGGTACAATTCAAGCTCAAAGGCTTAGATTCATAGCTTGTCCTTGAATTTCCTGGGTGATTATGTCCAAGCATTGCTGGTCATTTTTTTTTTTTCTGTGTGATTTGGTTCTGTGTTCCTCATGTGTAAAACTGGAATTCCACTTCCCTTTCCCTGCACAGTACTAACATGGTTCTAGTATCTACTGAATTCTGATGGGCTGCAGTAACGATACAAGGAGAAGACTAATGTTAAAATACCTATGCAAAACACAGAAATACTATTTAAAGCAACTCCTTTTCTGTGTATTCAGTTGACTGATTCAGCTCTAGGGCAAAGGAATTAGACCTCTGTTTAAAAAACGTGTATGCTTATAAAACCCTTATTGCAACATCCAGTAGGACCAATAGCACAAGAATGATGTCTTCTGCTTTATAAGATGACTCAATCTCTTACAAGTGTGATTTATTGCTTTAGCAATGCTGCGCTGTGTGACTGTATGCCAATTCCCCATCTCACTGAAAACATCCACACAAGGGAATCTTGTTTTACACTACCAGTACTAGTAAGACAGATGCCAATTACAGTGCCAATACACTGTCAACTCTGGCAGAAAACAGATGTTTTCTTCTTTCAACAATACAAGGACATAAGAGCTCTCACAGCAATTCAGCTGCAGAGATGCCTCTGACAAGTATGCTGTTCACACCAGCTGAGACAAAGTGGCAGTGATAAGGAATACAGATGTATATGTTTCAAAGACATAAACAGATTCTGATATATTTTCCTCACACTTACCTAAGAAGTCCCAAATAAAGACGTTTTTGAAGAGCCTGGGTGATTTAAATCCATGTTGAAATACTTGCTCAAGAGCTGAAACAAGTCCACTTTCTCCACACAGCAAGAGTGTCAGACTGCCTCTCTGCCAAGCACACACAAAGCACTTAACTCAGTTTGGCAGTTTAGAGACAGGAGGATTACATGCATTTACTAATCCAGGTTTTAAATAAATAGACACTCAAAGATACAGTATACTGTCAAACAACAACCCCAGACAGGATGGCTCATTTCTCACAAGTCCTCAGCTCTCCAAAATGCACTGATCTTCTTAAGAACAAGGGCAGCCAGCTCAGGATCTCACCATATTCAAATGAAAACACAAAAAGGTCAAGATGAAGATCAATGTGCAAGTTTTACCTACAGTAACTGGTGTACAGGAAATTAAGGAAATGTTTTCCTCTTTTGCTAAGCAATGAAGATCACCAGTCCATTGTAACAGGTGCTTCAGATTTTCAAGAAAAGCAGCAATTAAAGCTATTTCAAACCTTAGGGAAATAATAATTCTCCTTCAGAACATCACAGTAAGTTGGTTGCAAACCCAGTGCATGATTCACTTGATTACTGTGTAAATACAATATTCAATTTGAACTGAATATGAATTCGCTGTGCTAGCTGAACTTAGGGAAGGTAGGCACAGAACAAATGGAAAGATTTACGTGCAAATATTGATAACCTCCAAGGGATACATATATGGTAGCCAGCACTGTACTGCTACTTCTCAGAAAAGATGGAGTTTGACTCTTCAACAAAGGCACATTTTTTAAGCTTATATCCAGAAACATCTGCTGTGCCAGCTGAAGTAATTACACAGACAGCTTAAAAGCGTGAAGTCTTTGAAAGCATTTCTGGTTCTTTTTTGGTCATTTTTTGTTTTGGTTTGCTCTAAATGGCCCATGGCTTTTCATAAGTAGCCAAGATAATGCAAAAGAGACATTAAAAAGTCTTGTTAGCAGTCAATGCGGATGAAAAAATATTTAATCTAGACAGAACTCACCATTCCTGACAGTGGTTCAAGCAAGAATCATAAGCAGAGTATCACTCAACTTCTGATACCAGAACAGTACATTCAATTAAGAGAATGTTCCAGATAGCAGCAAGAATGACATAACTGATGTCACACTACTCCAACAACTTCATCTCCGTATCTCATTTTCGCTCTACTTAAGCAATTTTCAGACCATTCAGATTTTTTTACTACCATATGTTCTCAAACACTAGTATGAGTTTCCAGACAAGAGTGCCACTACACAGATGACAACTCCTCACCTCTTTCTCTGGCTTGTGAAAATGCTTAACAATGCCATTGACAGCTTCACCAATAGCTTCTTGTATCTGACCAGTATTTAGCTCTGCAAAATACAAAAATATTTCCAATCACTTTAGAAACACTTTAAAACTGTGCATGATGGATACGTGCATATCACAAAACAGAAAAGATACATGAACCAACCTAATGAAAATGTGCTGGCTTACTGGCAATGGAAATCCAACTCTACTTTTATTTACCGTGGGGGAAGACAAAATGGAGATTTGGATGTGTTTTTATTTTTTAGTATCAAAACTATAACTGTGGTGTTTGAACACAACAACAGATGGAAATGGTATTTATGTATTATATTAATTTCAGACCCAAAGCCCAAAGCTGAAAAATGGAAATGATATTTCATTATGACCACAGACATCTTGGAAATACATTCTATGATTGTTTTCTGTAAATCCAAGTATGCTTGGGTGCAAAATAACCAACTTACCAGGAAAAAGATAAAAGCAGAACAACAAAAACTGATATTCATTAATAGAAACAACTAACAGGTTTTCTCAACCATGAAGTACATGACAACAAATTTCTATTTTCCTCCCTAACACTCATTTCACAAAAGAAGGACAAAATAGAAAATATCAGCAATGCAGCTAAGCACTGGAGACGGAGTCCAGAGACATCTGGACTTGAAGACTTTAAGAATCTGAGTGCCTAAAATCCTGAGCAACCCATTCTAACTCAGAATTTAGTTGCACTCAGAGCAGATCAGCTGTGCTAAGTGAGCTTCACAGGTCCTGTCCAAGAAGAAAATTTCCAGCTCTGTTGCAAGCAGCTTTCCACAAGTAGCAATGCAGGACCTTACAAGGCAATCCCCACCACTTACTTGGCTTATTGTTTGGTGATATAGTGACCAATCTTCTGATCATGCTTGGTGACTGCTGCAAAGGAGGGGTTCGACACTGCCGCTCATCAACCTCAGTGTTGGATGTCAGCAGCTCTCCCACCAGGATCCTCTCTAAGCTGCCATCATCCATTCCTTTTCCAAGCCACCTTCCACAGGGAAACCTGAGAACAAAGAACAGATATTTGGACTGAGTCCAAATCCAGATTCAATTCCATGCCAAAGACTTTCAAGTGCAGTTGCACAAAATCCAAATTCTGCTAATATTGTTATTAGAAATACTTCACTCATCTAACAAATGAACAAATTCTTTGATCTGGCTTTTGCCAGCAGGGGGAGCAAAAGTAAAACAGTTTTTCTGCTCTGTGTTCATCTTAATTTTGGCACTAGATAACCTGCAAACAGTGCCAGAATTTGTCTCATGTCTTACATGCAGTGCTTGATCTGGGGGCTATGGAGGAAAGAAATGGAAGACCCACCACCAAGTACTGATGGGTGGCAAATATAACCATGCTTTTATGGAATACTTAACACAGAAGGCAAAAAAAAGAAACCAACAACATATACTGACACACCAGATCACCAACACATGTATTGAAATTGGGATATCATGTCAGACACCAGAAAGCACTTGTGCTCACTGGCTCATCAGCACTTTCTGAGAATCAGTGTTGACGTCTGTTTAATTTGCCCAATCAGAAAACTGAATGGCATCCAAAAACATAATCTTGCCTCTTCATTTAATCACAAACAAGCTCTCATGAAGAACTGAGTGGATCTATCCACCAGCTTCTCCTCAACATGAGCCTGACAGTTTCTCTAAACAAAGGACAAGGCATCAAACCATGCTGCACTTAACACAAACGAGTTTGAATTCCAACTGCAAATCTTGTTCCCTTACTTTCACTGAGCAAACACTCATTAGCCGCTGTGTTACAGCTTGTGTTCAAGTTTTCCTCTCTAACAATTAGAAAGCTCAACCTTAATTCAAAACACCACCCATGTTTGGCAAGCAGCAAGCTCTAACTTGCTATTTCTCCCTTGGGCTCAAGGCATGTTCTTTTAAAGATGCACAACAGTGAACTCATCTTCTCCACCGATGCTTGGAGGGTAGACAAGAGCATGTGCAAACTGAAAACTCTGTTTAATTTTGTAAGAGTCATGATTTGTTTAATGCCAGAAGCTAAATGACCTTTATACGTCTTCAGGTAGCAGCTTCTGTAGATGGAGTCCCAGGAGATAAGACCTTTCTAAGCAAACAAGCCCGTCTATACCACCTTCCTGCATAAATTCTACTTACCCAACAGGAAATGTCAGGATGATACTTACTTGTAAGTATGCCCTGTTATTTCATTTCTGACCATAACATACTCCACTAGCCACTTGGCATACAGCCCTGAATTATCATGTCCTATTTGCACCGTGGTCAGTTTTCCCAAGTTCTGGCACTGCAAATTAAACAAAGAATTGGTCAGAGTAAACAGAAGGAGAGAGCGGTATGCTGAATAAGTAAACTACTGGAGAACATGCTGAGATGTGCCATCAGAAACACAGCTCTCCTGACTGCACGACTGATTCTGAGCTTTTTAAGGATCAGCTGCTTTATTTGTTTGTGTTCATTGTTGCTTCGTTGTTTTTGGCTCTTTTAATACTGCTTTGATCAGCAGAAAGTTTCAGATAAATGACATCTTTTCAGAAATCTTATCTACCAACACAGTAAGGAATCAGTCAATTTATCTGAGCATGGTGTTATCTATAGATAAAATCTGCTACGTACAGGCACAGGAGGTATGTGTGACTAACCACATACACACCACAGATACAAAAAGTACATTAAGATGACACTGCAAGGGGAGAGTTAAGAACTGAATAAGAAGAACATTTAAAGCATTCTTATATGCTTTAATACATACCTCAAAAGTCATTTCTAATATATTCCTGGGAATCTGCAAGACTCCTGTTTCACCCAGTTCTCCTGAGATACATATCCAAGGATTGGCTGTAAACATGGAGCCACCGAGTTTCTTGCTAGGAACAATCAATATATGGTATGGTATCACTGCAAACACAAGAAAAAATAACACTTCTGAAATGGGAAAAGGATAATTATGGAACCTCTTTAATGAATAAAGATATGGTAATCCTGCACTGCTATGAAACATTAAAAACAAAGCAAAACATACAAATGTAAGAGTTCCTATTTAATCATACTAACACTTGCTCACTAATGACTGATTGACAATTGAAACAGTGATCAAGAAGTATAGCTGATAGCAAAACACCATCAAATGACAGAAGCAATACGGATGGACATCGTCCCACATTATTTTCCATTTAGCAGTCATGAAGATAGTTACTTGTATCCAGCTTAGAGAGGAGCAAGTAAGGACAGTCTCCATATAGCCAGGACTACATGCCCAGCTCCAAATTGTGCGTGTGTGTGCACACATACCACCCAGCTAATAACCAAATCTTTTACTTACAGGGCTTGCCTACAGAAGCATCCAGTACTGTGGCTAAACAGTGACAGTGAAAATCCATTATAATGCTGCAAGTTTCTAAGTGCCATATTACTCTTAATTATGCTAACTTGAAGACGTTTTCACTATAAAACTCAATACAGTTTCTCTCCCTTTCACCACACACATCCAAAATTTCAGGTCCCCTGGTCTACCAGTGCCTAAGTTACAGCCCCTTCTTTGACTCAGAAAACAGAAGGAAATACATATGCTCTTCAATCACGTAGTATCTCATACATGGCTCCCTATTAACCAAACTATTTTTGTAACAAAACCCAATTACCTGAATAGTCAATGCGTTTCCTGGCCATTTGCCTTTATTTTACAGCGCATAAATGGATTAGAGTTAGGGCTTTTCAGCTGAACTGTTTAATACATTTCTCCCTCAACATTTCTTCAGCTGTCAGTGTCCTCAAGAAAGCACTTGGTGGTTAGATTTTCTTACAAGTTTGATGCTTGTGGCATTAAAGAGTGAATTAAGATGTTTTTTAATTTGCTGTGCTGACAGTCTTAAAGAAACAACTGGAGAACATCCAGCAGACCAAACTGTAGCCCCGTCCAGCACCTGCCCACAAGACCAAAAACTATTCTGCTTACCTCTCTGCTTGTTTTGTCTTTCATACACACAAACACGTATTGTAACAAACATACAAGGATAGCTCTTACCATGGGGACAGAAGGATGCTCTCACATAGATCCACCCTCAATTTTATAAGGCTTGCTAAATTTTTTCCTTATGCTATCTTATTAGCAAGGTTCTATGTTGCAGAGTTCTGGTGCGATCCTCAGTGTGTATTTACCAAGTTAGAAATAAATGCCTTGGGCAACACATGGAAAGAACACTACTGCCCAGCAGAAAGCATTACAGAAACAGCAACAGAATAGACAGATACCAGAAAGAAAACACAACAACTACGTGAAGGAACATTGCTCAGAATTGTTTATAAATCTGAGTAATCACTCAAATAATTCTGGAGATCAGAGCTCCAGGGAAAGCAAATACTTACGGATTGTTGTGAAAACATTGGTAAAGCAAAAGTAATCAACAGCATTGAATGACAGGAGATGATATAAGAATTGTTCTTTCTCATCATCACAGCGGAGGAATGCGTAACGCTTGTAGAGTTTTCTGACAAAGCAAAACACATCATCTGTCATGGTAACAGGATTCTTGTAGTGAAATGTTTTCTGTTATGCATATTTATCAGGTAAGCTATAAGGAACGTGCAAGCAATTACAAATGAAAAATGATACTTCTAGGGACAATACGATTCAATATGCCAAACTATGCAGACATTAAGTCTGAAATCTCCAAGTCATCAGACCAATGTTCCACACACACAAAAAAAGATGAATCTAATGCTCCTTCTAATTGTCTTTAGGAAAATAACAATGAGACAGCCAAAAATCTATAAACTTTAGAGCTCCTGAGATCCAAAATCATATGCGTGCTGAGGTGGCTTGAACTCCTACTATTCTCTCAGTCCTGAGTTACAAATTCTTTGCAAGGACTGCAACACGACAGAGAACTGCAACTTCTTTTACAAGGAAATATCAAAAGTTGTAGCTCTGTAGCCTTCTCTCACTAGAAGAGACCCTGTGCAGAAAAATGCATTGTAAATGGAAACAAACATATATATTACTCAATCTAATTATAGAATTAACTGCAAGACCGGCAACTGTGAAACCTTGACAAGATTTTACAAGAAATTACAAGCAATAATTTTGATTGGAAAATACTTTTTGAAGTTGCTCAGTTGCACGTGACAGCCACCACCATTTCTGTTAATTATGCAGTCCATAAATAGTAATAGTATTGGTCAATAATCATAAAAGATCACTGCTCACTGTCATCATGCACTGTGAAAAAGGACAATCAAAGGAAAGCAAAGCAGTATTCTCCACAGTTGCAGAAAGAGGACCAAGATAAAACCTTGGCTCAGCAAAGTAGTTTAGTTTAGAATAGAGCTAAGCCCTGAGCCCCTAGCAATTTTTCAAGTTCTCAGCTCAAAGCTGCAGAAAGTCTACAGCTGACAGAACTGATTATGCAGCTGAAGAACCCCAGTATAACATCATCCTGACCAAACAGCTCATACACTACTAGTACAGAGACACACATAAAAGGCTGGTCTTTGCCACTCTTTCTTCACACTGCTAAGCAGATGAAAGAACAGGCATTTCAGGGTTTGCAAAGTCAAATAATGAAATAGAATTAATTTTTAAAAGCTTTGCTCAAGATAAACCATCTTACTTTGTGAGTTCATGATCTGAAAGCAGCTGTTTCAGATGCCTAGAAAGCAACTTCTTTTCCATAGAGAGACGAACCCAGGCTCTGGCTTTGCCAACGTCTGTTTTGATTTCACTGATGTTCTGGATATGCCTGAAAGAAGAAAACAAAAAACATTACCCAGAATTTTCAAAGCTCTTTTGAACCAAGCTAGGCCGAAAAAGGGATTTTACTAAGAATGCAAAATACCAAGTAAACTATTGGAAAAAGAAATGTGGTCACCTTAATATTCAACGATAGCTCAATTCTTTGCATATCTAGCTGGAAAAGAATAAGAATCTCTAAAGGAAAAAATTGCAAAGTACCCTATTAACAAAATTCTAAAGCATTCCCATTGCCTCACATGATTTAAGGACCTTATCACTGCAACAAGATTTACGTCAGTGTGCTTTGGAAAAGTAAATACTGTCTTTCAATGCTCAAAAACAGCTTTTCTAACATAAAACACACAAAGGGTATGCTTTGAAAAGACAAGCAGGACCCCTGAAACACCTCAACTCACTCCTTCCTTAAAAAAAAAAAAAAAAAAAAAGTAGAAAAGTAAAAAAGTGTTGGCAAACAAAAAAGTTCTTCAAGCTGAATCTAGAAGTTCTGCATCTTGTTTTTTGACGTGCTGAAAAAAGGACACGTAGCAGAAGGCAGTTATGCATGCTTATTCATACTACAACAGTTAATGTTAGACAAATTCTTTTTTTTTTTAATTTACATTAAACACGTTCTTTAAAATGCTTTCTTCACTCAGAAGCAAGATTTAGCTCAAAGCTATGCAAGTCAACTTGGAAATGATTAGGAAAATACATATGTTACACCCATGTCTCTATGGAAATAAATACGGAATATTATGAAAGGACAAAAACTGATTCAGGATACTTCTGTAAACTAGTAGCTAGTACAATGTCAAGTCTCCTCAATACGAAATATGCTTTTGTAGAAGTCAGTGAGAAGGTTGCACTACAGACTTTCAAAATGTTTCCAGCAGGTTTCCACCCACATTTCCCTGTTTTGGTGTATTGGCCTTTCCAATACAGTAAACATGATGCACAAACAAATGTATGCACATTTCTTGGAGTTTTTTCCATCTGCACTGTTTTTAATAACTCAAACTCACCTCATATCCTGGACCAGAGAGATCCTGAGAGGTGACATGCCTGGACTGGTATCCGACTTTCTTCTTTCTGAATCAAGAAGTATTCCTAGATCCAAAAGAACAGAATCTCCTGTTAGTAGAAATCCACTTAAATATTCTTAAATCAATACAAAAAAGGTAAATTAATACCAAGTTACATGTAGAAAGGGGTAGGTTTCTTTGTTGTTTGGTTTTGCTCACTTAAATTTAAAATTAAGACTCATAAGTAGTGGTCCCTACTGCACTTTTTTCTTTCTGCTGATTTACAGCTTTGCAAAGATATCATGGCATATTTCCATTACTAATGAAAAGAGAGTATGATATCTAGAAAAGATGCTCACACAGATCAGCACATGCTGAGCATTAATGTATTATTGAGATCTGGTTCAGCTGAAACTGGTATGACAGCAACTGGGTTAAAACAAATACCAGTCAAGTCGTATTTTCTACAGACTACTGTATTTTCTTCCCACGTGGTCAAACTGAAAGGCAATGCTGAGACTTGAAAACTACGTTCAGTGTATTTTACTCTGTACACCACAACTGTACGTGCAACCAATCTGCACACTCCTGTAACACCACTAGTTTTTAAACTAGCACGTTTGGTGTTTTAAGCAACATTACTACTCTTGTCAAATTTCACTCTAGAATCATGCCACATATTACAGTCCCCAAACCTGATACCCTAATAGTAAAAAAAAACCCTAAGACTGGTGCTACCTTTCATCTGATATTAAAAAAAAAAAAAAAAAAAAAAGCCCTGTGTGCAAGAACAAGGGACATTCAGGAGACCCTAATACTTTCAGGGCCTTGGGCATGCCAGCCCTGCTGAGCAATTTGCTTAAAGCAACTTTAAAAAAAAAAAGAAATCCAAAACCTGATAAAAATCCATTATTCTGTCCACAAATTATACCCTATGTCTCCAACTGAGGAAATATAACCAACGGATATTGTGTGCAATATTACTTTTAATACAACACTTATGTCAAATCTCACAATGCATTTCTTAAGCGTGCTTTGAATTTTGTAATTATTTTTATTATTTTTTTTTTTTTTAAATACAGTACAACACAATTCTGTGCTTCCACATGTTCCCCTAACCCCATCTATGACACAATATGCTTTGCCAATCAGGCAGTCAGTAGGACTCATACAGAGGATGTTACACTGGAGCAGATCCACTTTAATGCATCTCTGAAGCACCAGATATTCCTGGTGTCTGAACACTGCAATCACAAATAAGTAGGCTCAATCCAAATAAGTTTACTTTTCACAAGATGTACTGAGACAATACATCATGTCCATATTAATTCTGTGGCAAACAGAATGCTTGATTCAGTTACATTAAGTGAAGGCTATGTCCAGGGAAACAATTTGCACAGTGCAAATCTGCAAGCAGATCTTAGTAGTTTCTTTTTATTATCATCTTCTAGTAGAAGTTAATCTTACCTGAGGTACTGAAACTGCCTGATGTTGTTTTCCTCTGCCTGTTTTCAAGGTAATGTAGCAGATGAGACCACAAAGCAGACTTCCCCTAAAATTAAAAATATATTAGTTACTGTGACATACGGGATCTCAATTAAAAAAAAAAAAAAACAACTACTAGCTGAATAAAACTAGCTGAATAAGAAAGTTTAAATCATCATAGAAAGGAACAGCTTCAAATACGTTTGTCCTCATTGATTTAGAAACAAACACAAAAAGACAAAAGTTGCAGGTGCTTGGGAGCTGTAAAGAGGATGACAAGGAAAAGCAAAGTCAAAAACTACGGGGGTCTAATGATTCCAATAATAGAGAAAAGTCAGCTGAGCCTCATTTGTCCCTGGTTGTTGACATGAGATGAAAACATCTGAAGCCTTATAAAACTTAATGCATAAGCAGAATTTTCAGTCTGAGACTGAAAGTCACCACTCTTATGCAGTTCTTCCTCCCTGCACCTCCAGCAGCGTGCTGGCAAGAGACACAGAACCAGCCTGAGTAAACTATCTCCTACCCACACCAAGTTTTTCGTCTTTTGCACAACTGTTCCCATCAAGGTAATTCAGGGCTACAGGTGCATGTTGTCAGTTTTCAGAATCTCATAAGATCTCCCTCAATTTCATCAAGCAAACAACCTGGACAATTACAAACACAGCAACAAACAACAACAAAAATCCAACAACTCACACACACACACACACACACACACACACACACAGAAAAAACAAACAACCACAAGACAGACAACAAGAGCTGGTCAGTAAGACAGGCTGCAGTTCTGTACTTTATAAAAACAACTTTAAAGTCAGGGATGCAGTATTTAGGTCAAGACAAATCTGACAAATAATGCTAAAAGTTGCATCCCGCACATTATGTTGCTTCCTTCAACCTCTGGGGGCTTAAAATAGAAGTCAGGAAATTTTTCATGGACAAATTTTAAGATTCTTGGACTTATCCTAAAATATTTTGCATGATAAATCGAAGGTATCAAAGCTACAGAAAGCAACATTAATTGAGCAGGGTCCCCTCCAGCACATGAATTGCACTAATACACAAAGGAAATTCCTTACTATTAGCTATTATCTTCCTAAATTACTATGTTAGGTGGAAATGTTTAGCAATTCTGCATTTCAGAAAAACAGTCATTATAAAGCCAGGCTTTTAGTTACAATCTTGTGCAGAAAGAAACCATGACAGTAAAGCAAGAGTTGCCCATTCAGTACTATCAATGTCATCTAAAAATCATGCGAGTACCTTCCTGAAATGCTGTAATTATAATTCAACTCTTAAAGTTAAAAAATAACAACAAATTTAAATCTTTAATCTTTAACCAGTTCAATCCCACAGCTCTCTACAGTACTACTAAGGGCTTATTTCAAGACATTACATCTACCCCAAAATGAAGCAGCATGTCTCCAGAAGATAAAGCAGAAATTGCCCTTTTGCATCTGTGTTGAGAGAAATATATTAAAAATATGCATTTAGTGGTGAAGTTATCAAAAGAGTTCAGAGAAGCCCAGTGCCTCAATACCTGACAGATCCAACACGGGAAGCCAAAAACTGTGAGTCTTATAAAAAATATAAAAAGAGACTATGAAAATATCACCAGGGAATGGTTACATTGAAAATGATGTTTATTTGAATAAACATACACATGCACAGTCTAGTATTCAGCATCTTGCTGCCATGGCAAAGAGAACTGCAACAGATCACATAAAGCAGCAAACAAAGGATCCTGCAGCAAATAGATGTCAACAATCATGATGAATGTAAGAACTCATGCAGTATATATCTGCTCACTTCCTTTACCATCATGTTACTCTCCTTTAACTTCAAATAGCAATGATGATGTCAACTATTTCTAAAGGGGAAAGGAAGACAGCCTAAGGAAAGCAGTGGGACAGAAAACAGGCAAGGGAATAATCAAGGTCTTCTACAACTCCCCCCACACTGCTTTGGGCAAAGGAAGTTGCAGATTCACTTTGCATGTGGAAAAAAATCAGTAGGTAAAAAGCGTTGGACTGCAAGGGATCATCGGGAGGGAAGAGGTAAAAGCAAGGACTGGTAGAAGGAAAAACCATCCTCATTACTATCATCAATTGAGAAAGAAGAGTCTTCCTTGGCTCATTATTGAAAAATAAAGTAAAAATCAATGTATGAAACAGCCAGCTTTGAATATTTAATAAAGGCCAGACTACACAGAGAATGAGTAGCGTGTATTTTTTTACTGTGGATCATAGTATTAGACACACAGCACTTCCTCCATCAGGCCTCTATTATATTCCATCACTATTTATTCCACCATTCAGCACTGTTTGCCAACATCTGCAATCAATCCAAAGCAATAACCTTATGTAGGGTTGGCCGTCTGGTGGTCTGAAAGGCCCAAATCTGAGTTGAAGCAGAGTATACTGATGCTCTGTCTTCTAAGACGAAAGCAGTACAGCTTCTATCCTAAGTAATATACAAGAGGGAAGGGAGAGAGTCACATGATAAATCTTCACATAGAGAAACTAATGCTATAAAAGTCTGAAGGAGAGCAGATTTAAACACTGGTGTCTGAGTGCTAGGGAAAGAAATACTGAATTACAGTTGTCTGGATTATGTACTTATTCTGCAAATACTTTTTTTGTTTTTAAAAAAGAGGAAAAGAAAAAGGAAAGAGAAATGTTACAAATCATTACTTTCCTTGTTATGCATTTGTACAAATGAGGAGAGGATAAAGGCCAGTAGAACTCCACCTAATCCCACTAAGTGACAACCAGCTACTTGTTTCACATGAAAAGCAACCCTTCTAATTAGTGGTTTTAACTATCTGTAGACTGTTCATCAACAAAATAGCATAGCTTTTACTTTTAAAAACCAAATGACTCTTCACAAAATAAAGTTCCCATACCACATCCTACCAACAACGCATTTAGCATACATTGCATTAAATCCTAAGCCACTTCAATAACAGAAGTATTAAGAACACAGATGTATTTTTATTTACCGTTCTATTAGAAACAACCACCACCACCATCACAAAACAAAACAAACAGGTAAAATGGAAAGAAAGTCTTTTAAAAAGTCACCTATGGAACACACCTACATGTGTGTTTGCACCTTTCCCAGAGCAGAAGGTTGAGACAGACTGATACATAACAGACTGTTGACTGATACTGAAAAATGCTAGAGGTGTCAAGTATTTAATACGTCTATATACACACACTAGGTATCTTCTGAAAACAGAAAAGTCTGAATTTATGAAAGTATGCCATGGAACATGCAAGAATATTTGGTTCTCACCTGTTTGACTTGCAGACCATGGCTCCATATCCTTTCTAAGAGGTCACACAGACTAGCTATCAGGGTATTCTCTTCTACACCTGTGATATTCACTTCACCATGACCTAGCTCCACAGCTTCTCGTCCCATTTTTTCAACTAGCATCCTCTTGGTCTTGAAAATGACAGAGCAAAAGAGAGTTAGTTCTTTTCGAAGGATCTTCTAAGATCACTCACATTTCTTAAACAAACAAGGGGACACACAATAACAGTGATTTGGTAGGATAACTGAGCATATGTAGTAACTTGTGCTGGACTTCATTTCTTTTATCCTTTTTCCAAGCCACGGCAGCACCAGTTTTGATTGCTGTTGAGCCAACTTTCTCACAAGAGTGAGTAATCTGAATAACCAGAACAGCGGGCCAAAATCTGGCATTCTAACTGCCAAGCAGTGAGACCCCGTAATACAGCTCTATGTTTTCATGACAAATTCCACTTTTGGTATATTCTTTCTTGATTAATAATATAGTCTCATATGTGATAAATCAAATATGCTAAAATAGACATAGGCAGCAGAATGATAAAGACTCATCAGAATATTCAATCTATCACTGCACATTCTCCACTGTAAGTCTGTCTATTTGATCAATTTCCTCTCCTAGCTGAATTTTTAAGTATGTTCTTTCTTCATGAATTTCTCACCACTACACAAAAAAATTGGGTAAATAGATAAAGCTGAGACACACGGCAGAAAAGCAGGCAGTTCAAATGTACTGCCCACAAGATGGTCCTCAAAAGGCAAATATGAGAACAGAAGAACTCTCTGAGTTACCTTATTTCGGCATTCCTTCAGCAAGCCTTCTACAAACTTCCAGTTAGTTTGTGCAATTACTGATGGAGAGAGGTTTGACAGCTTTGGCTGCCGAATAGTGCTGCCCAAGTTCCTGGCTTCTTGGATATACTTCTGTATTGGGACATAAAATTGATAAAAACACATTAAAGTGCAAGTGAGACTACTGCACCAAGAGAAAGTAAATCCATCTTTACAACCCACCTCAGTACAATGAGGAGGAACAGATCATAGTCTCTTCCACAAGAGTCCCTTCTTTACATTCAGCATAACATTGGGCAGGGACTCTTAACGTGTAATTTCACTGGAGATCAAATCTCCACTTACATTAACTAGTATTAGAACACACATTACAGAACAACAAAAACACAATACAAACTGCCAAGGATATTTAGATGCATAGAAATTCAGTGAATCTCTGCTATACTGAGAACAGTTACAATTTTTTTTTTTCTTCTATAAAACACAAGCTCGTAATAATTACCCAGACCAAGACAATGCAAATGGCAGACTGTGGTCTAGAGGTGAACTGCAAGAAAACTCTGCCTGGACTTTGACGACACCTGAAACCTGTACTCATTTCTGCAGGTCTCTTGTTTCTTGCCCACCATCTCAGACTTAGAGGAAGCAGCTGAAAAATGCTACTAGCATTTCAGCTGTGAATCATCTGTGTTTAGAGCAAAATCATCTTCTGGATTGTATCTGAAAGAGCAACACTGCTCCTGTTTCTACATCAAGGTGTTACCATTGTTTTTACCTCAGAGAGGACAATTTGATAAACGTTTTGAAAAACTGCTGATGACAGATTGGATGGAGCATAGCTAGCTGTGAATAAAAGATAAGATCCTATACAGGCACTGACAGAATACTCAAGATTAGTACATATTTCAGATTAGCAAGAACTTTATCCAGCTTACACTGAAAAAACAATCAACTGAAAAGTCAGCTAACAGTCAAATTCATTTACCAAACACGATGCAACCTTAGCAAAGAAGGGCAATCACTCCCTTTCCAGCCTTGCACTGAAGAGCTGATAAAAACTATGCATCTTTATCCAGAACTATGCTTACATTCATATTGTGTACTTGACATACCAGATAATGTTCTGACACAGATTTTATAGAGGGCATGAAGGGCCAATCATGCTGGTCCCAGTCTAAACATAACTGCAACTGAAGCTCTGGCATGGAAAAGTCCAGGTGCTGGCAGGACAAGTTGGTAGCAAAAAGCCAAAGAAACCATGTAAAGTACATTGGTAAGCACGTAGGAAGTAACAAAAGCAAGCATGCAAAACAGAAAAGGAGAAAAGAATGAAGACATAATACAGTGCAGAATTCTCAAGGCAATAAACATAATAAGTAACAAAGCTGAAAGGAAAGAAGAAGACTTGATGTTCAATCGTTAGATTGGTGTAAACTATGCTCTCTATTGTGTACAAATATTTGCAACTTAGAAGCCACTAAACTTCACTGAAATGGATATTCATTGACTGTCTCAAAACTTCAATTTGTCTAAGACTTGCAACATTGCATTCTGCAACCGCTGCCTCCTGCTTAACCCTGATCCTCAGCATTTATCTCAGAAGAGTCCCCTCCCCATTCTTTGGGCTTAATATGAAAGTCTCTGATTCACCTGGGAAAGGGGTGAACATTCAAGCAGTGTAACGTAATTAACAAGTACAGCATAAAGCCCTTTTATCTTTGCAATTACCGAATTAAAATCTCCTAAGTTCACATGTGCTAAACATTAAAATTTCAAAAGCAATAATGAGGTTACAAATCAATTATTGCTCACTTCTGCAAATTCTATATTAAAAATACTTTTGAGTTATCTGAGCAAAACCAGCAATTACTTGCAGCTTTTTTCATCACACAGGCATTCTTCCAGTGCATGGTCACTTGATTAAAGCTTTCACAAACCATTGAGAAAACACTGGAAATAAGTAACACTAGATGAGCAATTAAACTCACCACTACCATAAAACATGAAAGTGAACAAAGAAATTATTTCATCTCAACATTAACCTAACAGATGCAAGATTACATTAAAATTCCAAGTGACGCTTTTCTGAAGGCACTGAACAATGCAAGAGCATGTTATCTTCAATAAGCTACATACTTTCAAGAAAAAGTAAGTATTTGGGGTTACTAAATCAATTCTGACATTTTTAAAATAGGTTATTCTTACAATCACCCTTACACCAACATCCAGTGTAACAGCTTACAGATTGTATCATATGAATCAGAAACCGTACTCTACGAGTCCAAATCACCCACATCTTTCAAAATGCCTTCACCACATAGAAGAGCAATGTCTGCTGTAGGAGCAGTGATGAGAGAAGTCTTTTTTTCAAAAGTGGCTATGTCAGCATCAGCGTTCTACGCTGCCAATACAGCCATTCAGCTCCAAAACCCACTTGCTATCTCTATACAGTGCTGGCTGCTGTTCTGTAAGTGCACTACGTCCAAGTAGAGCTGGTAAGATGTCTTCAGAGAAACGCTGCAATGGTGCAGCACTAGCCCCCCTCCAGTCTCTTCCTTTCATAGTGAATGCTTTCCTTCCTTAACAAATCAGAGTAGGGAGAAGTACATATAATGGCAAAACACTCTGAATACAAGACCCACTGTAAAATCAAACAAAAGAACTAATACCTATAGACCGTGTGATGTAAAAAAAAATCAGCAGACACAAACCCAATGGTACTGCTGGGGTCCACATTCCTTCACCTTAGCATAAGGTTGCATGTCAGTTTGTCACCTGAAGACATCCTTCATGGTTCACATAAAGAAACACACAATTCCATGAGACAATACTTCTGATTTTTGGATGAAATAAACTACACTCCAGAGGTGCTTATTTTTCCTCTATCAAACACACAGTTACGTATAAACAGGAAATAGATGACTAGAAGTCTTTTCATTAATTCTCACACCCTTTTTAAAAAACTTCAGTGAGCATGACAGCATTATCAAGGAGCTAACCTGTGCTGGAGATGAAAAAATTTGCTGTGAGATGGGAGTAAAAATGGCCAAAATTTTAGAATTCAGAAACTAAGTCATTTTGGTTTGCTAAGGATGGAGTACTTCATTTGTACAAATATGGAAAAGCAGAGATAAACTCTAAGTAACCGTATAGACTTTCCATGAATGTTACAGACTATTATTCAAGCAATTAAGAAAAAAACCCAAAAAACTAGAAATAAAAATAAAATCAGGTCTCTACAGCTTTTACCTCTCTCTGATCGTTGTCAAGACGCAAGTGCTCTGTGTGTTGCTTCTGTCTATCCTTCCTCCTCCACTGTGCAGGAGCATTTCTCTTCGTCCACCTACAGATAGAGGACTTTGTCAGCAAATGTCAAGAGCTGGTAAAGGGGAAGGGGAACGGGAAAATACAAGGTTTGTCTCATTGTATGTTGAGTACAATTGTGGAAGATAAAGCACGGCTGCAAATGCACACAAAATCGCAGTAGAAGCAACCAACCTTGAGCAACCAGAGTAACCCAGAAAATCATACTACATACATTTGTGCTGTACTTTTCCATTTCTTTATGATATCCAGTGAAAGCTTACACCTTCTTCCTCTTTAAATGAAGTTTCTGTATGAAGATATCCTAACACATTTGCTAGCTCTTCACAGAGTTCCAATAAAATTTGCTTTTATACCAACAGCAGTTAAATGTCACTCAGAACTATACCAATTATAATGGGGTTTTCTAAGGTAAATTTCCTTCTAGAAGTCTAGATTTAGAACAAAAAAAAAATCTGCCATATCCAACACAAATATTACCCTTCTGAACTGTTCTCATTTTGAAAAAAGAAAACACTGAATTTCCTTTTCAGTATCTCTGCTTCAGTACTATTTCTATGATCTCTCAAAGATCCAGAACCTATTGTCCAAACTTACTTGTTGCTTGCTGGTCCAGTGGACAGAACATCAGACTGAAGTTTGGGAAAAAATCCAAGTTCATATTTCCCTTGTCCAATTTTCATGTCCAGCAAGTGTGGATGGACTGCAGTGTGATCTATTTTTGCTAGTCTTAACTCAATTGATTTCTCTGAAATAGTAAGAAAATTAGGATTTTTTATTAAACATCTATCTTAAACAGATACTCTATGATCACATCTCTTCAATTAAAAGCAGATCTCAAATTTAAGGAGACAAAAGTTTGTCATGAACCCTAACAGGTAAAGTAATACATGAACACATAAAGCATCACAGAATCATCACCAAAAGGAGAACAATGTTTATCTTCTTAAGGTCAAACCATTTTTTCTACACAAAGCATGCAGAAAAATAGTTGATCTCAATTACCCTTTGGTGAACTTAATCTCAGCTTCCTATATAACATTTAGGTCACTACTTAAGCTTCATAGCTCATTTTTTTTAAAATGAATTGTTGCTTAACTTTAACTTAATATCTACAACAAACAGCACTGACTAGCTGCGTTTTCCAAAGCTTCAAGAAAGGGGCTTATTACTCTTACCAGCCTCATCAATGGTTGTGCATTTCTGATACATAGATGTGCGCAGAGTCGGCGTTCTAACATTCAGCAGCCTAATTTTATCCACTCTTGAATCAAATACTCTCAAAATAGGATCTTTATCATCTTCATCATGGCACATAATCTTATTATCAATAAAAGATGCAAACATTTGTGTCTCCAGGAATCTTGAGAGGAAGGGCAAGTAAGGCTCAGGCTGGTCTGACAAGAAAGATGCCTAACAGAACAAGAAATAAGAATGTTTGGGAGTCCTCAGAGATACAGCCAACAAAACCTAATCTTTCTAATCATGCATTAATGAATAGAATCGTGCATTAAGGTGCTTTGAACCCATTTAAAGCCTAGTTTTATTCCATACTCCAGTTTAATCCTCAAAACAATCAGAGAAGATGAGATCTTCACCTTCGTAACTATCACCTACAACACAACACAGTAATTTTTAAGCTGTGATTTTAGTATTCCCTTAAATTCCCTAAAAAAATTCCTAAAAATTACAACTGAATCCCAGCAGCCTGCATCAACAGTGCTACAGGTGTGAATATTACACACTTCTGAATGGGCTCAAAGCTGATGAGAATTTTTCCACATGACCTGAAGGAAACCTGATTAGCCTTTTAGCAAGTAGTGATTCGACATAACCTCCACCCACACTGCCTATCCTGCTGACAAACATCTGATCTCCAACAAAGAACATAATAATAAAATTTGAAGAGCTAGATCTCATGTTCCACAAGTAAAGAGCTAGGATACAGTTGGCACATACTTATGTCAGTGTTGTGTGGTATCATGACTTTATTTGTGAACATATTCAGCAATACTTCTGGTTAAAAATAAAACCAAAAAAAACAACATCATTTCCACTAATAACGCAGACGTTAGTCATAAAGTGAGACTTTTGAAGCAACTTATTTTTTCGACAGCATCCTTAAAAGAGCATCTTCAAGCGTGTGCATGCAACTACTTTTTCTGAATAATACATAGGTTGTGCCTTTTTTGAGGAACACTGGAACTTGTGGAAGAAATAGACATAAGGAAGACATAAGGAAGACTTTTAGACATAAGGAAGAACTTTTTCTCTCAGAGTGGTCAGGCACTGGAATGGCTGCCCAGAGAGGTGGTGGAGTCGCCATCCCTGTTCAAGAGGCATCTGGATGACGTGCTGCGTGATGTGGCTTAGTGCTAGTGGTGGCAATGGTGATGAGGAGATGGTTGGACTAGATGATCTTGTAGGCCATTTCCATCCTTGTGATTCTATGATTCTATTACCCAGTGAAAAAAAACCTTAAACTCAGATATTGCTACAGCTTCTAAGTAGAAATCTGTCTTGTTATTACAACTTACTTTATCGAAGTTTTGCATCTGTTCCCTGTTGGTAAACCAAGATTCCTTGTCCTGACTGGGTTGAATGACAAATACTTCATAATCCGCAAACATCTGTGTGAAGCGGTTGGCAAAAATTTCACGGATTTGAATATTCAGCTGGTAAATCTTGAATTCCTCTTCATCGCATTGAATTTTAAGATCCTTTTTGCTGCTGGTCTCCTCTCGCACCTCCAGCTAAGGAAGTAAGGGAATACACACACACACACACAAAGCATGTTTATCTACTGGTGCTTTATCAGGTATTCTGGGGTTACAAGAATATTTGACAGATAGAAGTATGTATGTGACTTAAGCCCAAGCTAAATTCTGTTGCAGGTTCATTCGTAAATCTTTGAAATGAATAGATAAGCACAATCAAAATAAGCTGTGTGTCTATTAGTCCATTTCCTGCAACCTAAATCCTTAACAGCATAATGCACTATTTCTCACTACACAGCCCAGAATAATCTCTAGAGAAATAAAATACATTTTTTTAGACATTGCATAGGCTAAGGTTTATAAAAAGAGCAATGTAAGATTTGGATATTCGGTTCATATTAGTTTTGATGGAAATTAGGTATCAAAAAAAGCCACAAGAATTCACTATTCATGAACTATGGCAAGCAGATATTGCTCAAGTAATATCACATATAACGAGAAAGATAACTGCAGAAAACAAGGTTGAATTTCAACTTCAATGTCAGTTTTAGCCATGTAAATCATAAAAAAGTAACGTAAATTTATAATAAATCTTAAAACTAAAAAGAAACAAGGCAAGGTATATTTTTAAGTGCTTTATCTTGGTCAAAACAAACAAGCAAAACAAAAAACTAACACTTCAGAAGCTACCAAAAGTTTCCATAGGTGCTGTAGAGTTGAATCCTCATCCATCACATTCATAAGGTTTGTGAGCATGTTAAATTATGCTCTTACTAGTGAAGACAAACCCAGTCTTTTTACCATCATTTCAGACCTTTGTTGCTGCAAGTCCTCAGAGGGTACCAGTAGTTTCATAGCTTACCTTTTCTAGGCTCACACCTGTTCTTTTAACCAGTGCTTGGAGTCTTGCAATGGTCTCATTTTCCTTTAGCAGCTCATAGGAATTCAAAGGTGATCCTGCTACGTTCCCATTTCTTTTATCAGAAACCAGGTCACATGTTCTGAGGCTCTTCATCTTTGAAGCACTTTCACTATAATGAAGATTTCCCTCAGGAGGAATTCCAAAAGCTGTTAGTATCTCCGAAATTTCCTGTACGAACTCAAGCTTATTTGGGAACTGGGGCAAGTCTTCTGGCAGCTCGATGAAATGGTTGTCTACATCCACAAAGCAAAGGTTAGCCTAGGATTTAATTCAGAATAGAATAACATTAGAATATGCACAAGGGTCATGTTGTATTTGTCTTTGGTTTTGGTGCTAGCTAGAAAAATCAAATACATTTGCATGCTTGGTTATTCTGTAAATACTCTGTAAAACAGCCTGGCCCAGTCATAATTGAGCTGGCTGGCTGGCTTTGAGGAAAGTACCATGAGGCTTACAATCCTGTATCTTCTAAAAAGTCAAGAAATACAACTCAGTTTTGAAGTTATTTCTTAGGTACAAAACAGAATGTAGCTTCTATTAGATACAAGCGTGCGATTTTGTTCACAAAGACACATCTAGCTAGATTTTAACTAGCACATGCACACGTATACGAGTGCCTGCCTGTTGCTCATATTATAAGCCCACTCTTCTACAACTTGGTGAATTTCATTCTGAAAGGTGTATGACACTGCAGAAGCTGCAATAAAATTATCTTCTTTTTTTTTTTTTTTTTTTTTTCCTGTAAACAACTTGAGAACTACTTTGATTCCTTGAAGTTCAGATTTTTTATTTCAAGAGAAAAAATAAAAATAAAATTTGAGCTAATAGGATCTGTTCTCCGGTTCCAATCTCTGTCATTTACCAAAGATGGGGGGGGGAAAAAGAACAATAACTCACCAGCACAGCTTCCAAAACATTATATAAAAAATAAAAAGGTATGCATTTATCAAAGATTTCCCTCACCCTATATTTGTGATGGTTTTTTTTCCCTTTTGTTTTCTGCACTGCCAAACCTACTTCATGACATGACACTACATTACATTCAGCACACTGGAGGGAAAGGATGCCATTCAGAGACCCTGACAAGTGGGCCCACATGGTTCAACAAGGTCGCATGCAAGGTCCTGTACCTGAGTCAGGCTTAGTATGCCCAGAAGGATGAATGCACTCTCAGAATTTAATAGAAAAGAAAGAATTTGAAGAGATTAACCTCCCACTAAATGAACTGCAGACAATCCCAGCTATCAGAGCAATGCACACGCACTGCAAAGTGTTACTAAGGACAAAGCAGTTCTTAAGGATTTTGCTGTGAGATTGATCACAAGTCAACTATGATAATCTGCACCTGCTGAGATCCTTATGTCTAAGTAAACTGCCATGAAGACATACATCTAATGTTTGTGATAGACTTGGATCTCTTGGTATTTCAGATTCAGGATGTCAATTCTCAAAACACAGCACACCTGCTATGTTTGATTTACTGAACTCCAATATCAAAATTAAAAAACAAAGCTAAATTCTTAAAGGAGAAATACAAGGGATATATGCCATGGTTTAACCTGGCAGGCACTAAGAACCACACAGTTGTTTGCTCATTCACCCCAGTGCAATAGTAGAGAGAATAATTTAAAAAAAGTAGATTTTGCAGCTTGAGATAAAAACTAAGAAAAGGAGAAGGAAAAAAAAAACGATAATAACGATAATAATACATACACACACAAGTGATGCAAAAAACTGCACCCCACCTGCCAATGGATTCCCAGACAGTCTCTGAGCATTGGCTGCCAACCCAGACAATTCCCCACCATTCTTCAAGGCTTTTTTCACACGTGGCATGGAATATCCCTTTGGCCTGTTTAGGTCTGCTGTCCTGGTACTGTCCCCTCCCAGCTGCTTGTTCCCCCCAGTCCCTTTGCTGGCAGGACAGTATAAGACACTCAGAAACTGAAACATTCTTGGCTCAGCACCACTCAGCAACAACTAAAACATCACCATGTTATCAGCATTGCTTTTCTCCTAAAGCCAAAACACAGCACCATAGCAGACACTATGAAGGAAAATTCAACTCTGTTCCAGCAGAAATCAGGAGAACATGTTATACTGGATTTGCATGACAGAGTCCAATTTATGCTCTGCTATGATCTTGCTCATAATTACAAAGATACGTAGAAGCCTTCTATATCTCAATTTCCTGATGTTCTAGTACTTGAATACTGGGGTTGATTTACTATCAAAGGAATGCATAAATAACAGTGAAGTTCTTGTACAGATCCTTTATTGTAAGTTAAATTGTACATGCAATTAGGTGTTGCAAAAGAATGCAAAGTAAATAAATAGAACAAAGACTCTGATGCTGAAATTTGTCTGGTGTACCCTGGAAAACAGCTTCTATTTTTTCAAATAGGGCAGAGGACACAGTTTAGATTTCTCTCAGCATCAACACTGTTCAAGCATAGCAGGTGCTGGTATGCACACCTGGCAAAGCATCTCCAGTGCTAAGCTAGGGATGCATGCAGACTGCACCTGCTCCTCACCCAAAGAAACATTTAGCACAAAAGGACAGTACATACACAAGAACTCTCATTTTTAAGAACTTCAAGATCCCCCATTGTACACATGAATTTTAGTTATCACTAAACTAAGTCAGCAAATACTTATCAGGAACACTGCGAGCACTTCAAGATACTAGAGAAATAAAGCATTAAAACTAGGCACAGTACCTGCTTGACTGTCAAGAAAAGAAGCTGTCTGAGGAACAGCAGAACAAACTCATTAAGAAACTCTAAGAGTTTAACTGCATTACTTTCTTTTTAATCTTTGTTTAATTACTGCCATTCAACCTTACTTTTTAGTTTGTTTGCTTTACCTTAGCACAGAACATCACTCTTAGTTAGCCTTGGTTCTATCTAAAAAGAGGTTGGCCAAAGAATGACAAAATACTAACCTTACTAACAAAGAGTCTGCAGTCTACAGACTGAAAACAAACTCCCTCCAATGAAGAAAAAGATGAATTAAATACCTGGTAAAATTACTTAAAAGCATTTGGGTTCATATGGCAAGTTATTCCAACAGTTAAACATCCTTTCTTGAGGAGTTTCTCCTTAAGAGCAATACACATAGTTTAAACATTCTAAGCCATTAACTGATGATACAACTATTACATTTTCCAGTACTGGCCCTATATAGAAGCATTTACAAACATGGAAATGTTGTACAGCAATACTCTACAGAGAAATAAAGAATATTTTTGGGACACCACATTTATTCAGAGCATGGTCCATAACTCATAAGATAAAAGAATTACCTTGAGCAACATGAACAAAGTAGATTCAGTAGAAGGCTTTAGCCTCTCTTAGCTTAAGGAGACTGAGATCATCCCTGCATGTGTACTTCTGAAAAGACCGTGACCCCCAAAGAATAGAAACAGCAAAGATACCTCACTTCACCAGTAGTTCAAGAGACACCAAATCATTATTTCTCTAAAAGTGAAATCCAAAGTAAATAAACAGCCAGTAACAGGCTTCAAAACAGTTAGTCCTACCATGTTGTTACTCGACAGCAATATCGGGGAGGACAGAGGGGCTTCCAAATTCAATTTATTTTGAAATGCAAGGGAAAAAAAGCATCAGTTAAATATGTTTTAATTTAAAACATATTTAATTTTTATTTTAATTTACTGCTTTAATTTACTGCTAAGGTATTAATTTATGACCTAAAGAGAACCTTCAGTTGCTACATGCCTGTTCGACAGTACGTTGTTACATGAAAGCAAGCTCACATAAGGAAGGAATTCTCCTGAGACTCTACAATAAGGAAAAAGGGTGCCATGTCCTAATTCAAAGGCTTGTCTTTTCCAGAAACTTTGATTATCACAAATAACAGGGTGTCCAGTTGAAAAATCTTACAAATCTTAGGAATGCAGACACAAGAATGTTCACATATCCAATGCCAAAGCCTGGTGCCACAAGGTAAACAGCAGAGCTTTCAGCTGGCTCAGTGGGACCTAGACCACATGCAACAACTCCAAAGCCAGAGGACAACTGCAATTCTTTAGTCTCACCTCAAGTACAATAAGGTCCAAAACCCCATACGCATCTAGCAATGCCTGCATTGAGCCCATATCCTTCCTTTCAGCTCTTCAAAAAACATAGCAGGAAATTATTTAGGCTCTCTCAAGAAGACATCTGAAGAGGAACTGCTTACTCACTAAACTCACTAAACTGTGAGTAGGCTCCCTGCGTCCCACTGGCATCCCAGAGAGAAAATATATTCTAAATACTAATACTGGTGACATAAGCTGAGTACAATACAGAACAGTCAGTTCGGACTGCACAATCACCCCCACTCAAACTCTGCCCAGCATAGGTGCTCAGACTACAAGTTGCATACAGCTTTTTGGATTGCCTCCTAAATAGTCAAGTTGAAACATGACTCAGAGTTAGGTTTTCTGTTTGAATGTAGCACTGAGGGATCAAAAGCCATTTAGCAACAGCATTTCTACAGCACACACTGCCCCTCTGTGTTAGGTCTCATCCTTGTAAATAACCACCCACTTCACTTAAAACACATGAAACATGTATGTTAACACATACACACAGAGACTGTAGAAATTAGTTTACAGTAGTCCTACATTCTAAAGAATTCCTGTAAGCAAATGGTGACCTTGTCCATTCCTTCTCAGTGCTACTGATCTTCATACCAAATGAGAATTTGTGATGTACAACAACTTAACAGTTGCATGTTTCAGAAGCATGAATTTAACTCAAGTAGCTCCTTAACACAGCAGTACAGACTACAGTGCAAACTGAAATCTGTCAATAAACAGATTTTAAGCAGTATTATCAAGGATCAACCACAGCAGCAGACAGCATCAAAACGCATACAAAGTGGTGATTATCTGTCAAAATAATTATCACAATCAGACATTGAGAGGAAAAAGAGGCTTTTCTTCTAGAATAAACAAGTAATAATTTAAAAGCACAAATTATCTAGATTTAGCATTCAATTTCACTTTACAATTGTTGAAATAAGAATACTGAGAATACATACTGTCTTACATTAACAGAAAAATGGATGTTAGCTTTTTAAAGTCTTCCACATTGTCTAAAAGAAAGCAATATTGCCCAACATCCTTCGGAGCGCTTCATTAAAAAAGAGCTTTTTAAACTAGATACTACTCGTTTGATTTAATGAGTGCTGGAAGATTTAGCATTGCTTATTTAGACTCAAAATAATCTCACTTTCCATCATCCACACGCATTAGGGAAAAGATGCACATTCAACAGCATGAAACAGCACAAATTAACTTGCATGTTAAAAGTACGTTGCTGTATCTTTGCAAAAATTTCTTTAAAAGGAAATTCAAAGGCACATTAAAAATAGTCTTACTGTAGTATCTAGTTTATAATCTGCAAGACTGCTAGTTTAACCTCCCTTCTGATCAATTTTACTGATACACGAACCACATTTTGCTAGCAACATCTGAAATAGCTGTGTTCTTGCCTTCCTCTTTGATTTCTGCAACACCTTGGTCTAGCACTGCTTCTCCCATGGCCCTGAACTTCTTTTCTGAGTTCTTTATAGGCCTCTGATGCAGCCACCAGAGAAACCACAAGGATGCTCAAGCACAGAGAAAAAGCTTTCAGCAAAAGCAACAACATAAATGAGAACAAGCTTAGCTTTTAAGTGTCATGTTTCACTGACATACACCAGTCTCTAATCTCTTAACAATCTTACAAGGCCATAGGAAGTAAGGGTCTTCAAGTCATTGATGAACTTCAGTGAATTCACCAACCAGTAATACAAACTTGCATTTTGTACAAATATAATTATTTTGCTGAAGAATTTATTCATCATCTGACAAAGCATCAACTTCTAAGATACAGTTTCCACACTGCCAAGGTAAAGCATTCCTTAAAGCATCAGTTGTGACCACAGCATGGAAGACTGCCACTGCAAGCAAACCAAATCAAGCTTTCTGGCATATGTGTGGAAAACTTATCCAAACCTGACAGTTAGCATAGACCATATTTTCAACCATTGTAAAAATATTTTAGCTTAAAACATAATACAAATAACATCCTTGCTATGTCAGATAGCAATATTACATTCTCTCACGATGCTCTTCAACTGAGAGGCATTAACCAGATTTTCTATCAAAGCCTGATTCCCTATTCTTTGTCTAAATTAGATCCTGCTTTTATAGCAGCAGTCCTACCCATCAAGTGGATTAGCAACAGTGATGCTGTTTGTGCAGTTTCAAGACAAAGCCCAAAGCACTTTTTCCCCAGGACTCAAAGTAAATTAGAACACAGAATGGCTCTTTATACATCCTTTCTAGTAAGTGATGAAGATTCTGATACTTACTGTGTCTACATATCAGGAACCTAGAGGCAGGTCTTGGAAACTAAGTTCCTCATATAACCCCAAAAATTTCATGTAGTATCACATGGACTCCAAGCTTTGGAGATGAGCAATATTAAGTAGTACTATCACTTCTATTTCTGATGATAAATTTGTATTTAAGTACACATAATAGAACATATCTGCCTTCTTCTAAGGTCGTATGATGACGTGCTTGCTTTCGCAGGGACACTGGATTCAATCTTTTGAGGTCCCTTCCAACCCCTGTGATTCTGTGATTTTGTAAAGCGTATTCCATGTTAGATCCTCCATCAGGAATTTTGTGCAGAGCTCATCTGGCTCTTTAAGTGAAAGTGATCTTACCTGAAGGCTTAACCATAATGCAAAATATCTTTGATATGAACCTGTAATTAGCAGTTCTAAGTATATTAAAGCTAGCTGATCAAATTATTGATATCAGTAGTTCCACTTAGTGAAACCAGAATGTTCTTGGGATTCTGACTTGCATTTTAGATGGCATGTTTACTTTTCATTAAAACAGCTGATCTTTTTTTGTTTTGCTTTTTGAAATAAATACAATGAAAATCTCACCGACAGTGAGCTCTTGTTCTTCCCAGTCTAGTTTTCCTCTTAGGTAATAAAGATGTCTGTACAGGGTAACTACTTAGGTATCTCTGAAGTCTCCAGTACATGTTCAAACCCATTTGCACACCACAGCTACTTTCTCAATGCCTTTATTTCAGCTGGCATGGAATTGTTCTTTTCAGAATGTTTGCTATGATGCTCTGATTTGGTTCTAGGAGAAAAACTGTGTTGATAACACACTGATGTTTATTGTTTTCTGCTAAGCAGTGTTGTACAGAGCCAAGGTCATTTGCACCAAAGGGCCTTGAGATCTGGCAGGAAACAGAATTAGGACAGCTGACTTAAACTGATCAAAGGGATATTCCATACCATATGACATCATGCAGAAGTAGTATTGAAGGAGGTGGGAACTTGTCTTGCTCTCTACCACTGCTAGCTAGCTGGGTATCGGTCAGGAGGTGGTGAGAAATTGCTTGTGCATCACTTCTTACACAAATTCATATATATACATTCATTCATATTTATATGTACTATCATTTGTAATATCCTTCTACTCTTGTCTATCTTAGTATACAGCTTCAACTCAACCCATGAGCTCCACTTTGTCTTTTCCAATTCTCTCCCCCATCTCACTGGGAAAGAGTGAGTGAGCAAATAACCATGTGGTGCTCAACCACCTGCAGGATTAAACCACAACACAACCCACAGCACTAAAGACTTCACCAGTTACCAAGAAACCTCACTCAGCAGTGACTTCTTCAAACAAAGCCTTACTCAGAACTGTCAGAGCTAGCTCCCAGAGACAGGCTTCAGAAGGACCAGTTTGCATTCTGCAATAAATTCCATCACACAGGCACACTCCTGCTGATATCCTAGGCCCTGAGGTCCTCCCCCTCCCAGACAATCCTGGTCTCAGTGAGATACTGTCAAAAAAATCTACTTCTCTACCTTCATAAAAGACAACCAGTAAAACTAAATTTAAATTGTGGTGCCAGGTGATTGTTTAAATACTACTTTCATTTAATTTTTAGTATTTTAAATTGGATTAGATACCTGGGAAGTGTTAGACCCATTTCAAAAAGAGAAAATTTTCTCATTGCAAAAGGACAGCAGTCTAATGAGAATCTTTCCACAAGAACAAAAACAACCATGGTGTATATTAACATGCATTCCACTTGATCAGCTATCCTGTATAACAATACACTAGCTATATTCAAAGTTTTGTAAAAATGCAGTAAACAAAAACAATAGTGTTTTCATTGCAAGAACATACATTACTCTGATACTATGCCAGTACAAAAAGTGAAGGAGAAAAAGAAATTAAGATATTTATAAAGACTTGAATTTTAATAGGAAAACAACAATCTGAAAATAAATTTTCTTTTGAATTTGCCAGGAAAAACAAATGAAAACCACCAGCATATGGATTTGAGTAAAAAGAGCAATGTTGGCATGGTGACCAGACTGGAAGCTTACAGAAATACCTAGCCTTTAATCTCACACAGCTTTTTTAAGAAGTTTATGTCATGCTATGTTGCAGCACTGTCTGATAATGAAATAAAAAGGGGAAAAGAAAGTAACACCCACCACTGAAAAATCTCCTGTCTTCTACACTTCTGCTTTTCCAGTAATTCAGATGACAACAGAAGCAAACAGACAACCAGATAAAGAGGCAGATTATAGGCACTAGCAGGATTTTTGAAGCAGGTTTTCCATAACTTACTCAGCCCATTCCCTGTGAAGTTATGCCTGCAGCAGCAAGTAAGCAGACTCTAGCAGGGGCCAGATCTCCGTTGCTGACAATTCTCCTAGCACAAGGTTTCCACAGGGCTCTCTGATGGAGCTGTCCAGCTCCTTCACAACAGACAGGAAAATTACACTACAGCATTCATCATTTGCTATTTACTGAAGCAAATAAACCATTCAGTGATACTTTATGAGAAAAGTCATTCCGATGACTGATAGTACAGCCTTGCAGGCACCTGTCGTGCTTCCCACAGGCGGTTACCAGCTCCTGTAGGAACTTTCTTGGCTATCTCAGGTAGTGCACACCCACTCCCAGCCCCTTGATCCTCTTAAGGTCTCTCCTGGCAAGTCCTTAATATTTGTGAAATAGGATATAATAAATAAAAATAACCTTTAAGTGGCTTTAATGTATTCCCAGCCTCATGTTTGAGTAGCAGAACCTTCACAAGCCACTTGCTTCGTTTATACAATGGCTGTTGTTAACACAGACACACTACAAGGAAGAACTTCCTGAGCATTATCTCCACACTACAAGGAAGAACTTCCTGAGCATTATCTCAATTAAAACCAATTGACTTAAATAGATGTCAACATTTTGCTGCAGACTGAATTTTACATTCAAAGGAAAAACCAAAGTAGTTTTGGTGCAGACACATAAGCAGCTGGATCCAGGTAAGACAATCCAACTCAAAAGTGCAGCAGAGGGAAACCCAGCTTAATCCTACACAGCTAACAACCAGCTTCAGCACAGCACAGCACTAAGACCAGTGCATCACAGAAGCAGCATGGCCTTTTGTCCATAGCCAGTAAGGTCACACTGCACTTTCCTGCATTTTCTAGCACAACAGGGCAAAGCTCTTTTTCCACCAGAAAAACATTCTTTCTGTAACCTCACAGCAAAAACACATGCAAAACTCCAGTCTCACTTTAACAGGAAATGTAATTTCAAAACAAGGTGGGTTTTTTTTTTTGTTGTTGTTATTTGCTTTGTTTTGTTTTTTAAATCAATTTCATTGGTTTGCTCTAGCAGCTCCAAAAAAATGAAATAAGATCTATGCCAAATCATCACCAGCTAGAATTTCAAAATGGCTGTTACGGTTAACACCAATATTTTGGCTCATCCTTCACTTCTCTCATTATTACGTACAATATTTAATGAATTGATCCAAGTTCCTCTCACCTCTTGAGGAAGCTCCAGCTTAGACCTGTCATCCAGCCCATTGGAGTGCAAGCCCATCAGATAAGGGACAGGAGCATCTAGAAAGTGAAGGAGCGATGCAGGAAGGATAGGAACATACACATGCTGCCACTGAAATGGAAACATTAGTGCTGTAATGGTCTCTGCCACAGTCATCAGTCTCTGATAATCTGAAAAAGAGCAAGAAAAAAAATTTCACAAACATATTTAAGTAAATGAACCTGAATTAAAGAAATGAGAACTGGCTTTAAAACAGAAACCACAGAACCTGGTGTTAGCTGAGCAGCATTTTTAATGGAAGCCTACACTTGTGCACCTAAGCACATTTTGCTGAAACAGCACCACAAAGTAGGTCAATTCTACAAGTCATGCAGAAATGAGCAAATTAAGTCTTTGCACCCATTAAGTCACTCCACACTACCTAAACCAGGGTTACAAACAGGAACACCATTCCGAGTCTGGAATCTGTATTGTAATTGGTTAAGAAATACAGTGGAAGTATTTTAGTTTCTCTGTGCTTATGGCTTTCTATGGAAGCCTTGGACGAAAACCAACGCATCTGGTATCTCTCAGATAAACATTTTTTAAAAGAGTGTTTAAAAGTCTATAAAGCATGCTGTATAGTAGCCAATCCAACAGTGGAACTGAAATAACTGTAAAAAATAAAAGGGATCAGCTTCATTTATCCTTTGCAATATATGGCCAAAGTCTCTATTCAACATATAAATAACTCATTTCCTTGCACAATTTCCCAGCAGTGCTAAGTGCACCTGTGCACCATGCATACCAAAGATCTTTTTTGTTCAGCAGCTGGTGTCTAGAGCAGTTAACACTGCATTATACTGGGCCAAAACCTCCTCCTCTTTCATACCATGGAATCATCTCTAATGCGGTTTGATATCTATGCACTGTAAATGAGGCAACACCAGATGAACTCAGAGCATGTGTTCTAACACAAACAACTACTAAAACATTCACAATACAGTCAAGCAGCCTGGCTGTAGTCAAGCATGGCTGGAAAGACCATAAAATAAGTTCAGAAGACTACGACAGTTCTTATCTTCAGTCAAGCTATAAATACAGTACAAATTGTAAACAAAGGATGCCTTTCTCATGATACTGCAATAATATCAAGTTCCAGGCAGAAAGTGGAGGCAGAGCAAATAGGAGAGAGGAAAAAATAAGTATCCATCATAGGTCTCTGTGACAGAGGGGAATGTCTTCTAACACATTCACAAAATTAAGGACAATAAAAAATTGCAGAAGACACTTGAACACACAGGTCCAGATGCTGAGATATCTGAAGTTGTTACGCTGCTGCATAGTGAAAATGAAAAAGAATACCTGCTCTAAACAAACACTTCAGAGAAAAACAGTTCCTGGCATTTGTGATTAGTTGTGTTAGAACAGAAAGTAAATGTGTAAAGTCTGCAGAGTCCCTGAGGAAACCCTGAAGAACTCAGTGCAGGCTTTGCCATTGCCAATCATCATTCTGTAATCCAGGCTTTTGATTTTCATTTTCAGATCAAACTACGACAGTGGAAAAGGTGCCTGTGTAAAGCTTACTGTCACCGCCTCACACCAGATGTACTCTGCAGAGCTCCTTAAATCAAAGCGAGCTAGGATGGTTAAAACAGTTGCAAGTTCTTCTACAAAATAAATACATAAATAAAATACCTGGATTGAAGTGTGTTAGGGAACAGCTTGACGAACATCACCAGCACCGCCCTACTCTGCCTGGACACCAATTCCTGCCTGAACAGTTATGTATTAGTTCACAGCTTTAATCACAGCCTTGACTGCAAAGAAGTGATGAATTAACAATTAGCTTTGGGAAGAATAATCTATTCTGTACCCTATTTTCTCCAGTGTCAAACTGTAAAGCAGCTAGAAATGCACAAAGATTCCAGCTGGTTCATGTTCAGCTTGTTTACCCAAAAGAACAAGTCTCAGAATAGAAACAGTGTTTTCCTACTACACAAAAACACTCTGTCTAATTCTGCTGGCTGATTTAAATACAACTTCTCTCTCTATCAAGCCAACGTTCTCTAGGCATTATGTACATCAAGAGCTGTTGGCAAACAGACAAAGGCAAGAAGCAAATAAAGCAAAATAACCTGGATGTTTTCTTATGTTTGACCTATCCAGAGAGGGTGTGGTGCTTCGTTTGTTTTTTAAAAAAAAAAAAAAAAAAAAAAAGCAGTGCTCCAGCAGCAGCGGTGTTACTCTCACTCTTGTTTTTGAAACCAGAGTATTTTTTCTGGTGCAAATCCACATTGTTTTTCTTATTATTATTTTTAGTAACATGAGCACTTGCTTTAAGAACACAGATTAGGTGTGATTTCCTCTTTCAGCCAATCGCTGCATGTAAAATACCTCTTAAAGTGCTTTATTGAAGCTATTTACACCACTACCTGTGTCTATAGCATCTAGATATTTCTGTTGATCTGTAACAGACGAAGAAATTGAGGAAAAAGAAGGAAATTGATCTTGGACCTGGGAAGAAAGGAGAAGGGAAGAAGTCCTAAGAACCATAATTTCAACTATCCTTTCTCACATCCTACCAGAGAGATGTCTATGAGGACCTACACAAATCCTCTGACTTCATCCAACTGAAAACAGTTGAGCAGTTAAACATTCTGAAGTAGTTTCTCCTTCTAATCTTCAATGTGAAATATTGCTATATTTATCAAGTAATTTTTCCATTCCCCTTACCACTCCCATTCTGTTATTTTAAAGCAGAGTTGCCCTTACAAAGGAGGAGCACTACCACAGATGAGTTTAGAGATCTTCAGAAAGTATCTGAATAAACGAGAAGGATGTGCTATTGAACAAGATTCAACCTCTTCTTAACTTGAAGAGGAGCAGAAGGTGAAATGTTGCAGTATGCAGTCATTATAGACAAGTGACATGCAATGCAGTTGAGCCACCAGAATAAAGCATTGCCAGAACCTAGAGCTCCCTTTGAGCACAGTTCTAAAGAAACATTTTCCAAAAAATTCTTCTGAGGTACTCAGTATGTCAGACTCTCGAGATAAAGCATGCATGCATTTTTCAATTGGGCTTTTTATTTAAACAAAGAAAGAGAGAATTGTGCTAAGGAGAAGCAGTGGATCAAAGGACTTCTAATTCATGTTCACTTCTATGTCTGACAGAACACAGAACCTTTTTTCAGGCTGAATAAAGATGCCTGCATCAAGCAGCAGCCCGTTTCCTAAATTACTGTAGACATAAGAAAATGTCTTTCTGGAGTCAACTAATATGAGACTAGTAGTGCAAAGAAATTAAACCAATACCTTAAATCTTCACAGAGAACATCATTTTAAAGCAAGTGAAGTAAAAGGGATGAACAATTCAAAGTCAAAGCAATCAAATAAACTTTCACTTGATAATGGCAACAGCCAGCAAACATCCAGAAAAATAAAGCTGAGCAAGATCGTCTGTGGCATTGGTGCATTATATTTCTCATTTTATTGTTTTTAGCTGCTTAAAAAAGACTCCTCCAAGCAGATTTCACAGCTTTCTGAATAGTATGCACTGAGTTCAGACAAGCACTAGGTGCTGGATAATAGAGATAAGAAATAAATCCATCTCACAGATGCAACAGCAACACAAACTGCAGGAATGCAAACCAGCTCCTGTAGTGTAATCTAGTGAGGGCACAGCTAAAGCTCCCCTTCAGCACCACTGTCTTCTGGTGTTCCTGCCCAAATTCCACGGCTCAGCACTAGCTTCAGGTTCTTCATCATCTCACAAGCACCCGAGTTCCTCTAGTGCATTCCAAAGTGGGAGAGGCAACTCTCCCAAGTCAACATCCACATCAAGGAACTCATTCTCTACGTTTGGCTTATATTGGTCCCAAACGCACAGGCTGTGCCAGTGTAGTAGGACAAAAGCAGAATTTCCAGAAGCATGAATTCGGAAACATGTCCAAGGAATCTCAAAGCAAAACACGCTCACTGCCAAGTGAAGTTACTCCTGTTCCAAGGACTGCCAGCAACTGAAAGCACTACAGAACTTGTTTCAGAAATGAATGAATCTGCCTCCAAAGTCCTCCAAGGAAAAATTAAGGTGGGAGAAGTCAGTCTCACAAGGAAATCCGCTTATACTGCTCTAAACCTAAATCCATCCAACACATGCAGCAATCTCATCTGACCCAGAAGAACAAGAAGGGATTCTGTTTCAATTGCCACAGTTTTAAGCACCATGAAATCTAGAAAAGCCAAAAGACAATGAAAAAAATTAACGTTTATATTCACAAAGACAACCTAGACCTCACACTGCTGCTCACACAAAAACAATGGCAAACTCTTTACAAAAGTTCAAGCAATTTTCAATTCCTCTTGGAGCTGAACACACCTGTATCTAAATGCAATGTACCCTTTCTTGCAATCAGAAAGAAAAAAGCTAGTTAACCACACAGAATGTATTAGGAGAATATTCCAGTAAAAAGAAAATAAAGTAGAAGAAGGAAACTAATTGCTAAGGGTACAGGCAATGAGAACCTCAGTCAGGTGTGTCATTTTTTCTACTGATAACACTCTCCTAAGCACCAAGGAAAGCAATCACTCTGCTAAACCAATTTTCTACTTCACTGCCACATAACAGAAAAAAGAATATCTTGGTTAGAAAATACGTAACAGATTACAGGAAGAAAAGATTCATTTTCTAGAATTTCAAAATACTTCCCAATCTCACAAAATTAAGTCTTTATCAAAAGCATTTTAGAAAAGTCTTGAACTTAACTGCTAGCAGCTCCTTCAGTATTCGCTAACTTTTGTTATTATCCACTAGTAGCTTTAATGATGTTCTCAGTGTTGGCAAAATGCTTCAAGAGAGCAGGAAAAAAAGAGCCTAAGATTTGATTTCTCAGAAAATATATGCTTCTGCTTCAAAAACTCCAGCTACTGTTACAGAAAAGGCATGATTTCACCAAAACTGATGGCCAAAAGTCTAACAAATAACTCAAGTTACTTTTTGACTGCAAGAAGGCCTTTCTGCCAAAAGTTATCAGTGAAAACTTGATAGTCTGAAACAAGACACTTCTATAAGTCATAAAAAAGCCCAACTAAGACAAAACTTAAGGTAAGGCGGGGAGCAGTAGACAAAAACTGTCATAAAGATCAGATCCAGGGCTACTGGCCTTTCATTCAATAAGTCCTCTCTCTTGATTTCCACACATGTGTGTGCCAGCAAGAAATCCACATCCCAGAGCTTTTTTTTAAGCTATGATAATTAATGACTAATGAGACACTTGAAAAGAGCCAAAGGGGACAAACATGTTGAGCCTATCAATATAACCTTGGAAACAGAACCTAAAATACAGAAGATGAGTCTGCAAGCACACTGAGTTCCAGCCCAGGGCAAGTGATACTCTAGCAAAGATACGGGGAATGCCGTTCCAACATAGTGACATGTGCACTGCTCTTCTTGCTGTGCTTTCAGCTGAAGAGGCACACATACACATCTGCCATACAACAGCTCCAGCACAACTACAGGTCAACTTCACCACCATCTTCAGATGGAAGAGTTTGTGTTAAAATTTCTGCCTGTGAGACAGAGGTGCCCACATAAACAAACACTCCCTACATACACTGTTGGATTTTTTGTTCGTTTGGGGTTTTTTGGGGTTGTTTTTGTTGGGGTTTTGACTGTACTTGAATGAAGATACAGTTTTTCTCTGGCAGTTAACATTTACACAACAAATGCGACATAAGTTGTTGAGTCTTGCTACAATTATACACCTTGATCCACATACGCAGTGAACTGTTCTTTGGCTTTACGCACACATCTCAACACACACAAACATCTTTATTTCATGCTTCAAGAATTTTGTTAATAACAGCAGGATATATTTTAAAAATATTTAACATTTGGTTTCCACATAATTCAGTGACAGCAAATATTGAAAACAGACTTCAGTAACACCATAGGCTACCCCAGGATTCAGCTTAGGGTCTTCTAGGTTCCTTTACCACTACTATAAAACTGTGTTCAAATGCAAACCATCTACTTTAATCCATACCATTAGGTCAAAACCACCAAATGTCAGTCAATGTCAAATGTGAGGATAAAGAGAAGTAGAAAAAATTATTTTCAGGTGTAATTCCACATACATTGTTTTAGAGTTACGGAATTTAGAGGAAAAAAAGCCCAGCGTTCACGGACTTTAATACAGCTTAGTTCCACCTAAGCAAGCTTTATCTCAAGCTTTATCTACAAGACATCAGCAGAAGACATCAGCAATACTGTTTCAGGCCTTAAAAGAAAATCAAATTTTAAATTCTGGCAAATACAACTTTCTCAGGTAATTTTATTTCAAAATTACTACTGAAATGTGACTTCAGGTACTCAAAGATAAATTTATATTTGTACTATGAATTATTCTTCAAAGTCCTTCAAAGTTTACTATGCCTCTTCTCAGAACGCACACAGAGTTTGGTAGAGATAGGAGGGAGAATTCTGCTAAGCAATTACATGGGAAAAAGCATATTAGTCTAACAATAGAACATGACCAGAAACAACAATAAACAGGACAGTCAGTGCATGACTGCAGGAGATTATGTGAAAGCCTCAGGGTTTAAACTGAGGTGCCTAGAAATAGGAACCAAAGAAATGCTCTCTGTAATTTGAGATTTTTTCTTGACATTAATACTTGCAGATAGATTAGCCTTACTGCATTAGCACTCTAATGCCACTTTAATGCAGCTAATCTGGTTTCTGTGTTTTCTTTTGTTTTGTTTCCATTTTGCTTTTCTCAAACATTCCAGAAACGAAGAATCCTTATGCCAGTACAACTACTAGGTAAGAGAATAAAAAGGAAGTACTCACGCTGTGAATAAAGCAGTATCTGAAATTCCAAGAGAGCACAGGTAAAGAGTTGAACCACATTTTCGACTCCAAGCAACTCAAATACTTCTTTAACCGGGAAATCAAATAATGGTAGTTCATTGGTGCTTGGCCTCTGGCATATAATTGGTCCATAAACTCCTGAAAATTTTAATGACCTTCCTGCTGGAGGAAGAGGAACCTCATAGAGAATATTGTAGATGTAGCTTTCTAAAGGTAGAGGTGGTGGCTGAGGAGAAGTCACTGCTTGGTGAAGTTGTTCTAGTACTTTCTTACAAGCTTTCATGAAAGACATCGGAGTAATCAAACAAATGCACTTTGAGACATAGAGCGTGTCTCTGCTAATGTCATACGAGTTAAAGCGCTGTAGCTTTGAAATGGAAGTGCCGTTGCAGTCTCCAGTGCTGCTGCAGCTATCTTTGTCATTTGTGGGTGGAGTATGAAGAATGTCATATTCAGCGTTGTGCATATGATACAATGTCTGCATTGCACTGCAGATCTGCTTGCTAGTAACTTCCTCAAAAAACGTGAGAGAAAATCCAAATGTCCGTGAGCCATCTTCACGAGTGATAATAAAAGAGTGGAACTGAGGTTCTCTAGAATCTGCTTGTGTCTTGAAAGCAAGCCCTTTAGGCATACACAGCTGTAAATAAAAACAAAGAGGGGAGGGGAGAGGAGGAGATAATATTAACACTTTTTTCTCTCCCCCCACTTTAGAAGAATTTGGCAAAACAGAATTTAGAACCCACAAGCTGCCATCACATTTCATATTAAAATTGCACTAAGTGATAAGTCTCTGTACAATACAATAATACAGATCCAAATTAGAAAAACTAAAGGAATACTTCAAAAGGACTTTATGTTGTTTCTATTAAAGGCCGTAACCATTTTGTTACAAGTCTCAATAGAAATAAAACAACAAAGTTCAAACTCTCATGAAGTATTTTCTTCATTAAGACCAGAAACTTGACAAAGAAAAGTAATAATTTTGGTCTAAAATAAGAAACTACACTGTGTTCCATTAAACAGTACTATAATGCACAAGGGAGATTCATCAACCACAGACTAATTTACTTCTCCACCCATTCTCTAGTAACAGAAAAAGTTGTAAAGAACAAAAAACTGTCCTAGAGACATATTGTTTACATATTTTAAACTTAATTTCCTTTAAAGAATATCCCAATTAAACAAAAAGATCTTTTGAGCCTGCACAATTTATATCATTTAATGGTATTTTTTTTCCAGACTATAATAGACTTTGCAGTGCAACTTTTTTTTTTTTTTTGTCAAGGAAAAGAAAAGCAAATGCCTTCAATCGTCAAGGTAGGTTTTTGCCTTAAAAACAAGAGCCATTAAGTGATACTGACCATTCCCACTGCATCCTGATCAAAAGGGTTCCATTCAACATTCTCAGGATAGCGAGCAAGAACTTTGGACTTAAATGTGCGTCTTAACGGAGTCTGATCAAAGTTCTCCCCTGGAGGTAAAAGAAAGATAAAGATGTAAATACATCATTCTCTTTTTAAGCTCTAACAAAGCCGTAAAGCAGGACATCAGCAGGTACACGTGAGAATAAGTGAATTAAACACACACACTCCTTTCAAGAGAAACAGAAAATGCAAGACAGTTAGTTAGCATAAAACCAGACTGCAGATATTAGCAAGGACTGGCACTGTAACATTTCTATGTTAAGTATCTGTGCTTTTCCTTAAGTGTATCTTCAGATTCTGATTATGTCAACAATTCTCCAAATTACTCTTCAGTTATTTCAGATTCTCATTATAATATAGCTAAAGCTTAAGCTTCGTGGATTTTTGTTACAGAAGAAAAGCACAAACAGACAAGAGGCAAAGATGATGCAGGTTTAACATAAACAAATGTAGTGTCACTTAGTTTCTTCTTCAAGACTTAGGGAAAAAAGGATGTACATCATCTATTACAAAAAGTTAGCTGTGAAAAGAGAGCTTAGAATGTTAAAAGATCAAGAACCAAGTAAGTGCCCATGAAGAGAGGGTATCAGGAGAGCGGAAGATTGAGTTTGTTCTGTTTTTAAATTTCCCCACACATTTTCCTTTACCTTCTGTTGCACTTGAAATGAAACAGCTGGCACCATCTCGGGTTTTAGAGGCCTGTATATACTGGCATAAAGCTATATAACAAATAAAAACAACACTGCATTATAAATTTCATACTGTCGACTGTAACTATGTAGCTAACACACCAGTAAATAATATGTACATTTTCCATACTGAATTAGCATGCATAATGACTAATCTACTCTCCTAATATGTTTTCTGTACATATACAACCTTGTGTAAGTTTCACGTTTCATACAGGTATTTCTTGAAAGAGATTACCAACATGTCACAGCAGCTCCCAGTTCCTGTATACAGAACCACAACAACAACGCAGCAATAGTAATTAGTTACCTGACAAACGAACGTGTTTTACATGTTAAAATATAAAATAGTCCCAAAGAACACACAGTGAAATTAACTCCAGTGACAAGACCATCCCAAGGCTACAGAGGTATACGGATTTAAGCAGCGTGGTTCTAATTTTTAATAGCCATACTAAAGACTGGCTGACACAACCTCTTAAATTTCCACTAACGCAATGAATGTCCATTGTGAAACCACTCAGCAACTCCACAGTTATACTTCCAAATTTGTGTTCACTAAGAGAAAAAGAAAAAACAAAGGAAAAAAAAAAACGACATAACCACAGATCTTAAAAATAAGCACTGCTATCTCACTAGAATACAATTAGCTCAGCAATCATGCAGCTGCTGGCAGCTGCACTAACAATCAGTCAGAATTGCATGAAATCATACAATTTAAATAAATCAAACTGTTTCAGCAACACCTGCAAAAGAGAAAACACTCTTCAACTCCTCACTTATTTTCTTACATGCTACAATTACATGGCAATAGAAATTGATTTTAAAATTGATTGGGTTTGTTCTATACTTCTACAGTAATATTTAAAACTCAGTTTCTAAATGAAATAGAATCTTTATTCAGTTACTTCCACAAAGTAGCCATACAGAGATAGTCGTGACTGCCTATAGATAATAAAGACCCTAGTAAACACACCCTACAACAGTGAGGAAAGCTTCACTTCCACCATATGCTTAGAAGTCGCCTAAAGATGACTAAGTTAACAAGTCACCTAACTTTGGATTTGGTTTTAAGTCTGCCTTAACTATTACCTCCAACAGGGATCTCGTCCTGAATCAGGACCTAGGACAGGTCTCACGGTACCTAAGCTGCCCGTATGTTCCCTTCATCTCCATTTTTTTAGCGCTGAAATTAAAGGGAAGATTGTCATTTGTCTTTTCTTTTTTTCCTGTTTGGCTGAAAAGCAACAAGGCAACTGATTTTCATTAAAAAAAAATTGTACCTGAGTAGTTTTATATTATTTGGTTCAACAATATCATTCCTGAAAGAGAAATGAATGGCTACTGAGGGAATTAGAAACGTGTATAGAGTGAGGGGTAGTTAGGGGAAACAAATCTAATACAACTTCCCTGAAATTCAGCCTTCTTGAAAAAGAGCAGAATCAATGGCAGAAAACATTTACTAATAGCATTTATGCAAGAGCTAAAAAACAAACGTAGAAGATGAAAATAAGGGCTTAGAGAACTTCCAGTCTCTAAGAAACAAGCCAGGATGTTTAGCCCACCTACTGTTTTCCATATTTACATCTGTGCAGATGATGTAATGCCAGCCTTTTTTACAACTGAGGAAAAAGCTGGTTTGTTTTCCTTCCCCCACATAATTAAACAAGTAAACATCTGAAAGGCAAGTTTTTCCCTGAGCTTGGAAACCACATGACAATTACTGGGTTCACCTACATGCAAGATCATGCATGCTTTTGAAAGAATGAGACAATTTCTAGAATAAAAATCTTCTTCCCAAAATGATCAACAGTGAAAAAATTCAGGATGCTGCTCTTCCTTTACAATCACCAAAAAAAATCTGCAAAAACGGATGCTAATCTACTTTAAAAAGCCTTTCCTCATATTCCCCCAAGACATACTCTCTCTAAGACACATGTACATTTTTTTAGATCTAAATATCAGTCTAAAACGTAATGCAAGAACTAAAACAGGTTTCTGGAAACCCACCTTGTCTTTGGAAGTAAATCCTGATCCAGACAGAAGCATACATAATAAAACAAACCACTGGACCTTCAGAACGAGCAAAGCTAAATTCAAGTGATTCGATAGGGAAGGGAACTCAAGTGACAACTCACCAACACCATCTGCAAATTTCAATCCTGGAACAGAAAGTTGATCTGTGCAACTGCAGGACATTGAGCAGCTTATTTTCTTGCTGTTACTACCAATGAGAACCTGAGCACCAGCAGGTTGCTAGGTTCCCCTTCACTTCCCTCACTGATCAGCTCACAGTTACCAATAGGCATCCAACCACACACACACATACACACAAAATTGCTTTACTTCAGTGTCCAAATCCAATTAATCCTTAGTTCCTAAACTTATGACCAGTTAGAAGCTTCTCAGCTTCTCACACACTTTTTGCTCCAGCGGAGCATCAACTGCAGCACACTTCCAGCAGGCAAAAATAACCCAAAGCTTCAAGATGTCTCTATGTGAACTGGACACCGGATTTAGCATTCATTGAAAGCATTTTGATTAAAAAAAAAAAACAACTCTGAATAACAAAACATTTTAATGAGGAGGAAGAAAAACATCAGAAGTTGACAGTTTTACTCTAAAACTGAGAAAATAAAAATGCAAAAGAAATTGATAAAAATTATGTATCCCACAAGTGTTAGAGCGAGTCACGTTCTCGCACTGAGGACAATCAAAGGTCTGCTGTCATCAGATTCTGCTTCTCATAAAACTCCTCTCCTTAAAGGATACTGGCCTACGTGTCTGTAATCTGGGCTTCCTAATTACAAGCACATTAGAACAGCCACACACCCCAAATACTTCACATTTGAACTATCTACTACACCTATTTTGAGTGATATTGCAATTAGCAGCCTAATATTGACTGTAACATGCACCACAATGCAGAACTGCAGTGAATACAGGCAAACACTGGCTCCACTCCTCTTCCTGACATGACTTCTCTTGACACGCAACCTGTGAGCAGAAGACAGATGTGTCTGAAGTAGGACTCACAAACTCAAAAAACATGATATACTATGGAACACAGCATTGCTTTGGATGTACTCATAAAACCACGTCTACCAATGGAAACTGCTTCCACAAAATCATACAGTGGGACAAAAGGTTACTGAAAGTACAGCCAAGCACAGAGATCTTCACTAACCTGCAAGATGCTATCTACCAAGCTCTCCTCAGCTTTGAGGTGGAGCAAAAAGAAGAGTCAACCCCAAAGGGCTTACTTCAACTCTTTCTTGGTTTACCCTGAGAAAAAAATTGCTTCACTGCCTTTCACATTCTTCTTGAGGAAAAGAAAAACGTCCTCCCAACACAGTAAAAAAAAAAAATTACATCATTCAACTTCTGGGTTCAACTACTCATGACCTCCCACCAGTACATAAACTATCAGACATTTACTTTAAGTGAAGAACCTGAAATTTCAAATTCTCCATAAAACAAAAAAGAAAGACAAGATTCTTGAACTGCTGGAAATTCAAACTTAAAATCCTACCACCAAAGACGAACACCCCTTGCTTCTTTCCCTTTTTTTTTTTGACTATGCCACTTGTAATGTTCTGTTTGCAAGCTGAACTGAGGGGAAGACAATTCATGGCTGCAGTCACTGTTACTAGATGCAGATAAACATGCCAAGTTGAAGAATCATCTTCACATGCAGTCATGGAATAAGCTACAGCTGAATCGAAACTGTTAACATATGTTGTACACCGAAGCCATGCCTGCAAAACAATTTCTTCCAGGTACCTTACAGCAACAGAAGCAATACTCATCTAGGTGGACTGTTTCTTAAACTGTCCTTGCTGAGAAAGGGCAAACTGGACAAAAATATATAAAAAATAAATAAATATATATATATATATATATATATATATATATAAACTGAACCATAGGTTTTTACATATGCTATCAATTCATCGTTTGGATTCAGTTTTTAGAATACGACTACAATGCAGTGCTACAACTCCTAAAAAAATAAACAACCATTCAAGGCTAAGAACTATACAGAAATCTCTCCCTGAATACTGGCTTGGAAAAAAAAAAAAGTCTCAGAGCAGATATTAGAGAGGTAGAACTGTCAATTTTCCTGCCGCAGCAGTAAAGAACCACTTAGAAGCAGCTATCCTAGTTACTACAAGTGCCTGACAGAAGAACTGAATGGTCACACAACACTGGTTTTCAAGAATTGTTAATACTGCCACCTTCATTTGTTCACTGAGCCTGCTGACTTGCTCAAAATAATTATAAAACAAAGCTCTACTGATTCTTATTAAGCAGTTTGCTGCCTTTATCATGCTAAGCAGCTTGTTTCTTTAAATTCCTGTGATATAGCCTGCTATTCATTCAACCCACTGAGTTTCAATGTACATTTACTGCGTAAGTGACATCTTTTAATAGAAAATTATATTGGAGATGGTAAGCAATCAGAACAAAACAGCTATATTTTCCACATAAGGACACTCTCATTTAAGCGTACGCAGGCTGTACATGAATGTCTTATGGCAATCAACATAAAGCAGATTAACCACAAAACAGTTCGTACTGCTGTAACTAAACAAATAAGAATAACAGCCATCTGCACCAGCAACGGCAATTATGAACCACACATTTTGGGCAGCCTTCCTGAGCTGAGCAGCACACTAGAGAAATGGAAGTTAGGATTCAAGAGTCCTCAGAGAACCTGTAACTGTATCATTTACCTCTTCATTTCCTATCTCACAGCTTAAAGAGTCTTGCAATGGCGAGACCCATGGCAGATTGCACAGGGTAAGGGCTCAAGATGAGGCTGGCCACAACAGCCGAACAGTCAGATTTTCCAAAGAGTGGACTGCAAATCAGAAGTCAGCCAACACAGGGATACAAACAGCGCATGCATTATAAACACCATCCAGAGAACAGCCTAGCTGCCTTAATACTGCATCTCCACTGTGCTTTGAAAGAGCCCTCAGGAAACCAGACAAGAAGACCAATTCAGTACCAACTCAGACACCATA